CCAAAATAACATATCATCGACGAGGGAGAACCCCAAACCACAAATCAGAGCGTCAAAATGAACACTCCGAAAATAAGGAAAAGCAATATAATGATTCATATACTTACCCACTGTTTACACAAAAAATTAAACTTGTACCACATCAATTATATACAAGGGATTAAATAACCTTATAAGACCAAATTAATTATAACAATTAAAATCGATTAAATGGGCCATGTTGATTGAGTTTTTGGGCTCATGACCCCTATGTTCATTATTTTAACCAAATCCAAAATAGCTTATCATCGACGAGGGAGAACTCCAAACCCAACAAACCAGAGCTTCGAAATGAAATCTACGGAAATAAGGAAAAACAATATTATGATTTACATACTTACCCTCTACTTATACAAAAATTAAACTTGTACCACATCGGTTAAATACAAGGGATTAAATAACTTTATAAGGCCAACTTTATTATAACAGTTAAAATTATTTAAAATGGGTCATGTTTGGATTTTTGGGCCCATGACCTCATGACATCATCCACGCGTCACTCTAAGCCATCTATTCCAAACTTTGGCTAAGTATTGGAGCACCCCATGATGTGGTCGGGGGAGGGGGGTATCATCATATTCCCCATGGTATGATCAGGGGGTCATCAACATACGCCCCCATGGTCTAGTTAGGAGGTCATCAACATACACTCCTTGATGTTATTAGGAGGGGGCAATGGCCAGGGGGTCATCAGCATACGCACTCTGGTAGGATCAAGGGGATCATCAGCATACGCCCCCATTATGTGGTCAGGGGGTGGTCATCATCAACATACCCCCCTTGACGTTATCAGGAGGGGGTAATGAGCATACCCTCAAGTATGAAAGACGAGGTGTATGGCAAGGAGCACCCCCATGCAGTGGTCCGGGGGGAGGGGGTGATCAGCATACCCCCTGGTGCAATACCGTATGGTGAAATATGGCGAAGTATGAGAAGTGGCAAGAGGGTCATCTCCGTCGCCACTATAAAAAGATAGACAGTTGTGACGAAAACCTACTGACGACACTATTTTATCGTCGGAAATAAGCATTATTTCCAACGAAATGGACAATTTGTTGGAATTTATTATTATTATTTATGACAAAAAATATTTTGCATAAGAAATATTTAGAAAACCTGTCAAAAATTATCATTTAGGCAAATTTGAGGGATTGTGTGTCACTATTTATGACGAAACCTGCTATGTCGCCGAAAATAATTATTATTACTGACGAGGTTTATGGCATCAGTAATGTTTCATCAGAAAAGCTCTACATTTTTTGACCATCAATTACTGACCGTCCAAAAAAGTTGGAATTAAAATTGACGTTGCAATTCATCAGCGAAATCGTCATAGTTACCATAGTATTTTTGACGAGAAATATACATTTGTAGGGTAAAATGTATTAGATATAACTTTTTATTATCAAGCTATTGGCTGTCAAAAATAACATGTTAAGATTACCAATGTTTTAGTTAGCAGTGACCTTTTCTGACGAAAAACATGATGCCATTGGAAATAATGTATAATATACAAAAAATATTGCATGTTTGGAGAATTGAACCATAAAGAGTAAGTTTACAATGATGAGTACACGCCAATTCCACTATCTTAGTGTATATGAACTTTCATGTTTGTGTTACTATTTACTAATATATCATATATAGTATATAATTGAGTAGTGGAAAAATAAAAAGCATACATGAAGGTGGATCGAACTAGCCACCTTAAATTTACAAAAATGATTTCACATCAACTAGACTATCTTATTTTTGTGTACTTTCATTCTACCATTACTATTTACTAACGTTTAAAAAGGGTTACAATATTTTCCAATGTTATTATAATCGGCTTGGACTGACCAGTTCATTCGGCTAACTTGAAACATCATTTTTTGCGCTTTTTCCCCATTCTATTCTTCTTATTAAAGAAGTTTTCTCCCATGTAAAACAACCTATTAGTTAACCAATTAGGCTACACTAATTTTATGTTAATACTTAATCAATGTCCTTATATAATTAGCTTAACCAGAATTTAATGACCTACTCAAACTAGTTTATCTTTTAACAGTCCTCAATTTAGCTTAATTGACCCTTAAGATCCATGTTTAATTTATAGCTCCTTTTGTCCTTACAACAAATTTTCTGCCAACATTAATTTGTTTGCATAAATCATATAATGTAAAACCAATTTGACTTGTAACATAATTAATATCAAATTTATAGAACTGTAATTTGATTAATCCAAAACTCTATTGACTCACAAAGTGATCCAAATCAGGTACAATTTGTATTATATAGAATCATGTATACGTATAAATTAAATTTATACGATAAGGTATATGTACAAGTTTAACTTGACCATTGATGTGTAGGTGCAAGTTTAATTGTACTTTTACCATACAATATATGTACAATTCAATTTGACCGGGTATATATGCTAGCTCCATTTGACCATAATGTATCGGACAAGTTCAATTTGACCATTAAGATATATGTATAAGCTCAATTTGACCATTACTCTATATAGGTACAAGTTCAATTTGATCATTAAGGTATATGTACAAGTTTAACTTGACCATTGATGTGTAGGTGCAAGTTCAATTGTACTTTTACCATACAATATATGTACAATTCAATTTGACCGGGTATATATGCTGGCTCAATTTGACCATAATGTATCGGACAAGTTCAATTTGACCATTAAGATATATGTATAAGCTCAATTTGACCATTACTCTATATAGGTACAAGTTCAATTTGATCATTAAGATATACGTACAAGTTTAACTGAACCCTTACCATAAGGTATATGTACAAGTTCAATTTGACCATTAAGATATATATACAACTATACAAGCTCAATTTGACCATTAGTGATGTTTGAAAAAATGATATCATATTTTCCAATATTCTTATAACAGGATCAGACTTTTTTATCACTGCAACAGACTTACGCTAACCCGAAACGTTGGTTTTTTGCATTTTATTCTTCTTATTAAAAAAATATTATCCCTTACCAAGAATTGAACATGTTTCGTTCAAATGAAAGGCAACATACTTAACCAGTTAGGCTACACTAATTTTTATCAACACTTAATCAATATTCATATTTAATTAGCTTAACCAGAGTTTAATGTCTTATTCACACTATTTTATCTTTTTAAAGGAGAATAATACTCAAATTAGCTGAATTAACCCTTTATTTCCTTATTAAATTATTAAATACATTTAAACAATCAAACACTAAAAGAAATTCGTTCCCAATGCACTATCACCAAAAATATTGTCACCACAAGTTCAATTTGACATAAGGGTGTAGGTACAAGTTCAATCGAACTTTTGTCATGTACAAGTTATTCAACCAATAAGGTATATGTACAAATTTAATTTGAACATTAGTGTATAGGTACAAGATCAATTAGTTCATTAAGATACATGTTTAAGTTTAGTTGAACTTTACTATAAGGTGCATGTGCAAGTTCAATTTGATTATTAAGGTATATGTATAAGTTCAATTTGACTATTAGTGTATAGGTACAAGTTCAATTAGACCATTAAGTTATGGTACAAGTTCAATTGAACTTTTAGCATAAGGTATACATACAAGTTCAACTCAGTTTGTACAAAAAGGTATATATACAAATTTAGTTGAGCTTGTACCATAAGGTATAGGTACAAGTTCAATTAAACTTTCACCATAAGGTATATGTACAACTTCCATGGTTGTTGCTATGACGTGAAGTTTGTTATTTGGGCGACGACTGGGAGTCACGATGGTCTCGTTGTCCGGTCAGCGAGTTGGGATCCAAGGGGGAAGCGCCCTGATTAGGGGGTTTAGGGACAACGCCCACAACCCACGGTGTATGATATCATACAATTATGTTTATCGACGATTTGTGCCGGTTGTTGTTCGAGTCAGCTAAAACCAACAATTTTTCTACTATTTGTGGCAGTTCGAATTGTAGTATGTTTTAGCTGACATATTTTTTTTATATTTGTGTCGGTTATAATTGACTGAAAACAATATAGGGATGGCAATTTCGACCTGACCTATTTTGCCCGACCTGTTTGGCCTATTTTGGGGCGGGTCCGACTTCCAGCCTCCGAGAACCGCATGACGCCCTTCTTCCCTTTTCATGTTTATTCTGGTGATGATCATTAGTGGGCAATGGCGGAGATCCGATTTGGGTTCAAAAGCCAGATCTGGATTCCTCCCTTGTGAAAAGCCGACGACTTGATGTAGCGACAGAGCAAAACGCAGTGGTACTGGTAGGCGACAATGAAGATTGACGCCGACGACGAGGATGACTCTAGAGACAAATATTAGAGGTTAGTATGGGTTTAGATCCAAGCACGGTGTGTTTCGGTTCGATTTTTTCCATCGTGCTTCAGTAGCTTCGTCTCTATTTTTTATTCAAGAGGAGAAACAAAGTTTAGAGAGGCGGGACAGAGGATGCTTGTGTCGGTGATGGTCCCTCTGTTGCTCAGGGCTGGTAGTCCAAGGAGGAGGTGGTGGCGAGGCCGTCGTTGGGGATTGAAGAGAAGCCGGTTGTGCGATGGGGATTCAAGGGGTGAAGGGGGCTAGGCGGTGCAGGTCTACGCAGCGGCAGAGAGACGAGGAAGGTTTGCGGGTGCTTCAGATCCTCTTCTCCAGCAAGTGCCGGCGCCGACGGCAGCGGCGAGAGATGAGAAGAGTGATGTGGTGGTTGTCGAGAGAGGGGAGAGTTTGTGGGTTACGGGAGTTAGGGTTTCATTTGGGCTTAGTGAGTCAGGGTTTCCTTTGGGTTGGGGGAGGGGGGACTGGGCCTGGGATGAGTCTTAGACTTATGCAACAAATTTCAGTTTGTTAGACGAGAATTCGGAACATCGGTTCGGCTGAAAAAACCATGATTTTCGAATTAGTTGTATTTACCTTCCGAATCGAATAACATTAAAAGTATTATATAATAAAATTTGAAAAGTATACTATGCAATGAAATTTAGTATTACTATCTTTGTTCTTATAGAAATTAACTAGTAAATTTAGTCTTAATATACTAAATGAGATAATTAAGCTACCAATAAATGTATTTTGTAGCAAATATTGATTTACTTATGACGAACGGCTCCACCCTCATCAGAAAAGACCTAGAGGTATTTAGGAATTGAAAATTCCTATTCTTAACGAATTGATTGTCGTCATAAATAATTTTATTATCGACGAATTGTTTTTACTAACGTCACATCCTCGTCGAAATAATTAAAGGGTATTTTCGGGAATGAAAATTCAATCCCGTTGCACGGTTTTTTCTACGAGTCACTGTCGTAAAAAAAGGTAAAAGGGTATTTTGGGAAGAAAATCATTTATTTATGACGACATTTCTTCGTCAATAAGAAAAATTCTTCCTCAAAACTTAACTTCGTCATTTTGTGAGCATCAAGTATAATTTATTTCTGACAACGATATTCTAGATAGTGACCAACAAATTTTCGTCACAAAAATGTTTTTTTTCTGACGCCCTTACTTTTTAGACTTTTTGCAATGAGACTTTTTCCCATGATGACCAACGACCATATGTCGTCAAAAAGGTAATTTCCAATGAAAAATGATCTTTTTCGACGCCAATCGACTGGTCATACCTGACTGTCTTTTTTTGTAGTGTGCTCTACTAATCATAAATGATGAATTGTGTTTTTCATTTTGACCCATGTGATTCGAATACTCATGGGGCAAGGGGTCTTCATACGTTAACGGTTTTCCTCATTTTAAAACCCAAAGCAAGGAGAGGCTATAAAAAAAATGGGGTCAAGACTGAAGAGGGTGGCACATCCAACGTCAGAGCATCAACTAAGCAGTTGAGAATGTAACCATTGCTCCACGTCAGCTGAGCAGTTTCTCGAAGTAGTTACTTTCGGCGACTATCAATAAGAGGTGAAGATGACAGAGAAAAGGTTCGCCAAAATCAAACAGATAACCCAATGTCACCTTTTATCATTTTATTTTTTCCTCTGCAAATGTAGTCATAGTCTTACTTGTAGTTTCGAACCTCTCACGGAACCTCTATAAGAATATAGTCAATTTAATTTTTCTTTGTCTCGCAGATTATCAGAAACATCGAACACGCTTGTTTGATTTTTTTTTCCCGAAGAGGTGGTAGTTATTCTTCCTTTATACACAAATGTGTAAATTTACAAATTCCTTGCATGCGCAAACCTCTCTCCTCTAGCCAATAAACCATTATTTAATTTGTACATATAGGGAATTGATCAGGTGCAAATTTGAATGAATCAACATATAGATGTCTATCAAGAAAATACAAATAAAGATCGACCATTATAGGCCGATCAATGTCTATAAAAAGAGATTAAAAATTGGGTTAGGCTATATGTGCAGCTATAGGATGGAAATAATTAAGATGGTGCAAAGAAAAAAAAAACAAGAGATCAAGAAGAAAGATAGATTCAGAATTAACAAGAGAATGGATATATATATATATGGGTCGACGAAGGCGAGAAGCTTTTGTTGATTCCTCAATCCTTTTTACCCGACGCCGGTGGCCGGCCCCTTAATTAAGGTGGATATATATGGGTGTTCAATTTCTCACATCAAAGTCCAGCAGGTTTTCGTGGCCGGGTTCCACACCGCGGGGACCAAAAACCTCTTCCCCTTGGAGCCATAGCAATTAAAGCTCTTTCCGGTGGCCGGATCCTTGAGCAATTTCCCCGGGTTGCTCCCCGGAACCGCTCCGCTCCCGAAGATGCCCGTGCAAGCTGACGAAGCTTCTAGTGGCTTCCTGAGGCTGTCTTCGAAGAAGCCTGTGTCCTGCGGGTTGGTCACAGCGGCTACCAGTCCTTGAGCGAAGCCGATGACCATGGCGTCGGCGCCGATGTCGCCGCTGGGCGGGATGAGGTCCGGTCCGCCTCGGAACGGCCAGGCACACTCTTCTGGGCATTCAGTCTCTGGGTTGCCCACGATCACGTACGTTTGATTGTCTGCATGGGCGAATCCGCGCATATATGTTAGTGTCAATCAAGGTTTCAATTCGATTCATATCGTTACACCGGTTTGATAAGTGGTATGGTTTGATTGATAGCTAGTATAGCTGGTTTAGGTTAGTTAATGTTGGTTTTAGCAAAATATGTTAAGAAATAGGAAATCATTAATACTAGATGCTTTAGGTATTATATAACACATTTGAGACAATTTCTCTAAAATCTAAATTTTATATTTAAGAAAACTACACCATTCCAAACAAAATGAAAAGTACCCGTGTTTGAATACAAAATTTAATGCAAACATCTAAAAGTTTTATATTTGAACCCAACAGATAACATAAACATCTAAACATTCATACTTGAATCTAACAAATAAAATAAACATTTAACCTTCAAATTCAAGAAACAAATCACAAATGATTATTTTTTTTGTTAATTAAATCCACTAAAACAACACCATTTTGTTCAAAGATTGGAAATCAATTATGCCGGTCATGCTGGAGGCATTCCAGCTGGTTTTGTAATCGATATCGGTCGAAACCGGTTGTATTGGTCGGCATGTCACCGATATGACGCGCGCGATATCTATCAGTTCAAGAACTAGTTGACCACAAAAAAATCGAGTTATTGATAGATGCTCATAGTGTCTATTTGCACATGCATTAGACAGTTAGTGCTTAACAAATGGGGTAGTCAGGATTCAAACACATGTAAGATCTCTCGATCACTGAAAGCTGTGATGCCATGTCAATAACGAGTTCATTCAAATAACTCGAGTTGTGTGAAGAGATTCAATAATAAATCTTATACCATGCGCTAATAAACCATGCAAACAAACCCCAATTTCTGAATCAAATTATCATGCATGCATGCATGTGGAAGGATTATAACCACGTACGTAAAACGTACCAATAATTCCGTGGTCGGCGCATTCCCCCATGCAGAGCCCATGCACGGAAACATCCCTCGCCGTGAAAATTACCGGCAGTATCCCCGGGTTCCCCTCGGTCGCCTTCTGTATAAGCGGCTTCAGAAAATCCGTCGTAATAACTTTCCCGATGGAGTAGCTGGTATCCGTCACCTGCCTCGCAACTTTGACCGTGATCGGTCCGTCCGGTTTCTTGGCCGCGGTTTGATACCCTTCCACTATCTTCCACCACGACGACACCAGCGGCTGGCCGGCGGCGTGCCCTTCGTAGTTCAAGGATTTCACGAACGCCCTCACCGTGTTCTTCTGGACGCGCCCGAACCGACCGTACCACACGAGCGCTAGCTTTACGTTGCCGGTGAGGATGGGCCCGTCGTGGTAGGTTATCTCCGGAGGAGTTTCGCCTTCGCCGGTGCACACTTGCGGCGAGAATGATAGGAAGAAGAAGAAGAAAGGAAGGAGACAACAAGAAATCCGCAAATGAGGAGATGGCGCCATGATTGCTTATAACTTGATTGAAATGAAGATCCAAACTGTGTATCTATCTATCCGATCATACATATGGAGAATTAATGACTTCAAACTTGAGGATAATTTGAGTTCAAACTTCTTTTTTTTCTTCTTCTCCCTTATGCGTACATTCACCGAATTGAATCAATTGATTAGAATGGTTTATATGTATTTTAAGTGTGGAAAAAATAGATTTATATTTTCATTTGCAGCCGCATACCTAGCAAGCTTGAATTAAAGGAGACAAATAGCTACCCTTCATGCCGGGAGAGAAATTGAAAAAAGAAGAGACGCAAAAACAGCTAGGTTAGCTTTTGAATTAGTCGTGCGGGAATGACGCTCCTTTCTAAACCTGATTTGCTATTGAACTGGTGGTGGGTAATGGTGGTGAAAGCTAGCTTCTTTTTTCTTAACCTGCGGAATCGCCTGCAATTGGCAGAACGACGGTGATGCATATATTTGATAAACCACACCCGGAGTACGTGAATGATTTGATTAGTTGACACTTGACACCCAATCGATCAAATCGATCGAGTTGACATGCTACTTAAAATTAAATTTTTTATAACAAAAATAGGTTTTAGGGCATGACCGAAAAAACCAATTTATCAGAAAAACACTTATAAGTATTGGATGGAGTATTTGTATGAGTTATTTGGATGGACACAAATAACTCGTTTAGCAGCGTTTTTACTGAAATGAGTTATTTGGGCAGTGAATTATTTACAAATAACTCATACCCATGTGTTATTTCGAAATAACTCGTTTTACCACTCTGTTTTTTCCAAATACCACATTTACATGGTTCAACCAAACGAGATACTTTATTTCAATTACTACTAAAATAATCCTGAAATACCACATGAACAATAAATGAGTTATTTGACTCTACAAATACCACATTGACAATTAACCCATCCAAACGACCCCTAATCAGGAGCAATAGCCCGTCTGCAAGCAGAAAATAATTGAAGTGTACGAAAAGTGACAAAATATAAAAAGCGGAACCAGGGGTATTTAGGGTGTACGGGGAATACTTCTAAAATTTGAGAAAAATGATTATCCAATCTCGGTAGTAGTTTGCGCATGGAAAAAAAGAAGAAGTTATACAAGTGATAGACTAGGTGATTTGAACCTAGGACACCACTATTATTGGTAACCATATTTTCTATTATACTACAACTCATTTGTCATTATATTGTAAACACAAGTCTACTATTCCTTTACCCAACTATTTTTCAAATCTAACGATTAAACCCAATTATGGCTGCCCTTATTCCCTCTATGCTATCATATTCATTGGTTTACTTGCTTCTCAAAGTGATTTATTTTACCGATTAAAAATGCAAGTGTTGAAATAACATTTTCAATTTTGGGATACTTTAAGAACAAGTTTCGGAATCGAATAAGCAATCAGTTAGTGAATGATTGTATAGTAAGATATAGAGATATGTTGAGCCATGTAGACGCAAAGTGTATTTACAACTTTTTACAGAATATGAAAACACGTCTTGGACTTTTGTTGTAATTTGTACTAGTTAAATATTTTTATTTAAGAATTATTTAATTAATAATTTAATTTTTTAAAGAGGACACCCCTATATAAAATTTCTGATTCCGCCACTGATGACTGGTCAAAGAGAAACTCCAAAAAGAAGGACTAAAGCCTGCCTTTCAAGGTTCTAAAAGTTATGTGGGCTTGGTCATCAAACAAAGTCCAAGACCCTGGATCCAGTAAGTAACCCATTCACATTTATCTCATTAGATATTTATTAATAATTAGATTTGTGTAGTTGTGTTCTACAGTAAGTAACCCATGTCTCTAACAAAAACAGATCCAAGGATGGAAAGGACAAGCTCATCAGTCAGAATGTTGAGCCATCTACCTCCCACCATTCAAGTTTGAGGATAGTCGGCAACAAGACCATCAAAATTGGATGAAAATAACTATTCTTTTGGATAGGTTATATGGAAGATTTCCTATAGTACTATGATATAAAGGTTTGGACAACATCAAAATGGGGCCATAAAAGATTGAAATTGAGATAAGAAGCGGGTAAGGATACGACTTGGCAAGCCTACAAATAAATAGTCAAGCACAACCTGAAATGTGCACTTGGAAGAAAAGAATATGGCAAAGTAGCTATGTGCAAAACCGCAAAGGAAATATGGGACACGTTAGAAACGACATATGAAATTATGAAGGTACATCTCAAGCAGATGCTAGTAAAGGAATATGGATTATTTAAAATGAATGAAAAGGAAAGTATAACTTAAATGTATGAAAGATTTTTGAACATAGTAGGGAGACTAAACACAAATGCTGACCTAGTTAGTAAAATCATAAATTCCCTGTCGAGATCATGGCGACCTAAAGAAGAAATAAATGGCAGATTTGATCAAAGTAAGCTAATTGGTTCATTAATGACTCACAAAAAAGTTCTTCGAATAGACCACAATGAGAAACCTTGAAAGAGGAAGGATTTAGTGCTCAAGCCTCATATTCTAGGAGATGAAGAAGAGATTAAGGGCAGATTTTTCTGCGCTAAAAACAATTAGATCCGGACACGACAGATACAATAGGAAAATCGATAACTCTCGAATAAATACGGGAAAGAAAGAATCAGACGAAGGGCCTATGAATGCCGAAAGAGGTATTGTTACATGTTTGAGGTGTGGTAGACTGAGGCATCTTAGAGCATATTTCCATAACAAAAAACTAGAAAGAGAAAAGACAATGGCTACAAAATAGAGATGTAGCAAAGACGATTCAGTAGATTCTGAATCGTAAGAGGAACACAAGGGGTATATGGCCCTCATTTAACAAGATCATATGTGACTTATATGGCAAAAGAAACACAAGATATATTCAAGTATTTTGAACCCCTACATCTACATGCATGCATAGATGATGGCTCGGAATATACTCACGGAAGTAAGTTGAAACTGAAGTCAGGTATAGAAAAGCTAACATGCACGATCATATTTCCCAACACAAATTTACACAATGCGAACGCGTTTGATGAAATTAACGAAAACATAAGCGAACAAGAAAACTTTTTGCAGAGCCTGACTAAACAAGTAATTTTGATGGAATATGATAGTCACAAGCAAAAGACTACTATGGTAGAATTACTAACAAAATTGAAAGTAATAGACAAATTAGCAAAAAGAAAGACATGTCTTGAGGATACAAAGTGTTTTAGGTGTCATAACTAGGTATGGACATCATAGAAATGAGTGCTACATTAGGTTAAAGTTGTTGGTTCGGTTAAAGCACTAATCACCACGGTAATGAGTGCAACATTGTGATAACACCAAAGGCGGTGTTGGATCAGAGTTACGCAACCCAAACCCAAAAGAATTGAGCTTCTTGATTCCCGGTGAACAAACAGGGGAACTAAACAAGCTTGTGAAGCTTGTTTTCGTGATGAATCAGGATGGAAATGAGAGGGAATCCTCACACCTGGGAGGATGCACAGTCGTTATAAGGTTACCTTCGAATGATCGAGTGGGGTTGCTCGATCAATAGGTCAAAGTTCAGCAAGTTTTGATCGCAACCAAAACCAAAACAACTCACAACTCAAAACGTTGAGAATTTGGGGTTTTTCTTCACAAATCAATTCTGAATCATACAAAACGAGTTTGAGGCCTTTTATAGGCTTACATAATTACAAACAAACTAGAATAAGGATTGAAACTAACCTAACTAAGCAAGGAAACTGAATTACAATCATAATCCGGATAGAATTAGGAATCCTTGTGGGATTCAGATTACTGGTAGTGCGAGGTAGCTTCTTTGAAGCCCTCAAAAATAATCTTCCTAGATGATTCGACCTCACCCAATCCCTTGTCGTTGTAGAAGGGGACTTCCTCTGTCACCTCCAACTTGAATCAGCTCAAAATCATCTCCCAAACTCCAGTTATAGGTCTTCAAAGGTAGCATCCTGAACACAGTTTCTGACTTGGCAAAATCACAGATTCCAGGTTTCTTCATAGCATTTTGGGAGACTTGAAAAACATCCTTCCTGGAATCTCCTTGAGCTCCATGATATATCAATGAGCTTATAAAGTCTTGAAGTTCACATTTATGCCTTGATCCATCATTTCCATCGATTGGTTTGAGAGATATAAGCCTCCAAAGTAGGTTCCTTGGACCGGGTTCCATACTTAGCCATTTCCCCCTCTTCTTCTTCCCAACCTTACTTCCTTCTTCCTCAAGCAATTCCAACTTCAAGATTGATCCAATTGGGATCATATCAGGCCCCCCCTGTTGAAAAAGCTTTGCCCTCAAAGCTTGATCTTTCTTCCTTTCAAAATTTGCACAGAATTGATCCCAAATAGGATCGAAAGTGGGCTGCTCAAACACAGCTTTCGGCATAAAAATTACGCCTTCAATTTCACCTTCAAGCTTCTCTAGGGACTTTGAAGCTTGCATAGCTGTAGGGAACCCTTCCTGAACTTGAGAAAAACCTCCCTCGCCGTTCAATTTTACGGGAAATTGATCAGAACAATTCCCAGGTAGTGTGACGTCACCTTCGTACATGTTCTTCCTCGAACAAATTGGGGGTTTGCGATTCAAGCTTCCCCAATCCAATTCATTGAGTCCAACGTCTTCGCCATGATTCCAATTGAAGGTTTGGACCTGCCACCAGTCTCGAATCATCACCATTGTCGCCAAACCTTCAGTTTCCTCTTTCCCGCCGCCCGCCGTTTTCAAATTTTCGCAACCCAGATTCCTCAATCGAAAATTGGGGCTTTTGGATTCAAGCATCCCTGGACTGAATTGCGTGTTCCGAGAGCTTCCCAGGGTTCCTCCAAACGATTTTACTTCAGCCACTTGGTTCGAATCATGCCCGAACTCCCTAACCAATAAGCTCGAATTTTGTTCATCTTCGGCCGCTTTCAGAGGGGTTGAAGCTCGAATTCGATCCACCAATTTGGGTTGATTCGACTCTTCCTGAGTTAGGGGAGAGCTTCCTGGAACGTTATGGAACGTTTCAGCACCATCGGATTGGATCGACGACTTCCCCAGGCTTCCACCCAATTGACCCTCTCTCCTCCCCTGTATTGCCGTCGGCGAGAAACAGAGTGGGAAAACCGATCGGCTTTGGAACCCCATAGGGCGCAGCAAGGCGGTTAATGCATGACGTCGATCAAGGAGACTGCTTCCCCTTTGCGACCCGCCTTCTTCCTTAGCTCGATTAGCTGCCAGCTGACGTTGGTCTTCTTTGACTTCCGCCGGTGACAACGACGTGAGCTTGAGCTTCTTCCCTTCATGTTCAAAAGTGAAGCAATTGGTGCGCCCATGGTGAGTTACTCCTCGATCAAATTGCCATGGTCGGCCCAGTAGGATGTGCGCAACGTGCATTGGCGCGACATCGCAGAGAATTTGGTCACGGTATTGATCAATTTTGAATTCGACCCAAGCCTGTTTCGTCACTTTTACAGCGCCATGATCGTTGAGCCAATGAAGGCTGTATGGTTCAGGGTGCTTGCTCGTATGCAATTCCAAGTTTTCTTACTGTGTCCAGGCTGATGGCATTTGTACAGCTTCCTCCGTCAATTACCATTGACGCCGTTCTTCCTTGGATGGTGCAGCGAGTGTGGAAAAGGTTGTCACGTTGTTGGGTTTCGCTGACAGCTTCAACAGTGAGGGCTCTCCTTTTGACGAGAAACGACCCTCCTGGAGGTTCCATCTCGAGATTCTCATCCACCTCCTCGTCTGAGTCCTTATCAGCTGCTGCCTTTTCCACTTCGTCATCCTCGGAGTAGTATTCACCATCGCGGAGGACGAGTGCTTTCGGATTTGGGCATTGGAAGGACTTGTGCCCTCTTCCATGGCACTTATAACACTCCAATTTGCTTAGTCCTCCTCCTGGTCGCTCCTGTTGCCCAATTTGGACGACTGATTTCGACGTTGCTGGCCGATTCGAAGCAGGGGCTTCAGTTTGTGGATTTTCAGACGCCAATTGCTGTTGAGGTACTGCCGGAGAAACGCGACGACCAGTGCCCAGTTTCAACTGCTTCTCCACTTTGATGGCGAGATGAAGTACATCTTCCGATTCCACAAACGGCCGCAATTCCACTTCGTTTCGAATTTCTCGACTCAGCCCATGGAGAAATCTGGCTATCGTGGCCTCTCTGTCTTCCCTGACGTCAGCTCGCATAAGAAGCAACTCGAGCTCCCGGTAATACTCCTCAACACTCCTTATTCCCTGTCGAATTCCCTATAGTGTTTCATGGAGTTCGCGCTGATAGTACGCAGGGACGAACCGCCCTTGCATCAAGGCTCGCAGCTCCTCCAAAGTTGTTACCGGAGCCTGCCCATTTTGTCGGCGGCGAACCTGAAGTTGCTCCCACCACTGAGCAGCGTACTCTGTGAATTCGTAGGTAGCTAATGCTACCTTCTGTTGGTCCGTGTAGCGCCCACATTGAAAGAATAACAAGATCTTTCGTTCCCAATCCAAGTATGCCGATGCGTTCAACGTACCCTGAAACGCCGGCACAGAAAGTTTAATCCCAGGTGGAATTCCTAGCTCATCGTCGCGATTTTCTCGACGATCTCGCACATGACGCTCACGGTTGGGTTCAGCTACGACCAGACGTTGTTCAAGCTCCGCAATCCGGTCCAATACTGCTGGATTTCCGTCGGGAATTTCACCATCGCGAAGTTCCCTGTCCTGAGCTCTGTTTTCCGGTGGCACAATTGCGTCAAACCGTTGATCGATTTCGCGCTTTAATTGACCCAATTGCGACTGGAATCTCGCGTCAATCTGCGTCAAAAAATCCTCCATGTCGAATTGAAGTCCAGCCATGACTTGGTGGTTCGGTTGATTCGGGCTGTCGTTCTTTGACGTGTTCTCTGTCTTCTTCCGTCGAAGAGCAGGGTCAGCAGACACGGATCCTTTTGATCTTGTCCACGGTGCGGTTGCCGCCACGCCTTCCTCCGTTCTTTCCTCTGTGTAGAACCAGGCGATGATGCCACTTGATAACACCAAAGGCGGCGTTGGATCAGAGTTACGCAACCCAAACCCAAAAGAATTGAGCTTCTTGATTCCCGGTGAACAAACAGGGGAACTAAACAAGCTTGTGAAGCTTGTTTTCGTGATGAATCGGGATGGAAATGAGAGGGAATCCTCACACCTGGGAGGATGTACAGTCGTTATAAGGTTACCTTCGAATGATCGAGTGGGGTTGCTCGATCAATAGGCCAAAGTTCAGCAAGTTTTGATCGCAACCAAAACCAAAACAACTCACAACTCAAAACGTTGAGAATTTGGGGTTTTTCTTCACAAATCAATTCTGAATCATACAAAATGAGTTTGAGGCCTTTTATAGGCTTACATAATTACAAACAAACTAGAATAAGGATTGAAACTAACCTAACTAAGCAAGGAAACTGAATTACAATCATAATCCGGATAGAATTAGGAATCCTTGTGGGATTCGGATTACTTGCAGTGCGAGGTAGCTTCTTTGAAGCCCTCGAAAATAATCTTCCTAGATGATTCGACCTCACCCAATCCCTTGTCGTTGTAGAAGGGGACTTCCTCTGTCACCTCCAACTTGAATCAGCTCAAAATCATCTCCCAAACTCCAGTTATAGGTCTTCAAAGGTAGCATCCTGAACACAGTTTCTGACTTAGCAAAATCTGGACAGATTCCAGGTTTCTTCATAGCATTTTGGGAGACTTGAAAAACATCCTTCCTAGAATCTCCTTGAGCTCCATGATATATCAATGAGATCATAAAGTCTTGAAGTTCACATTTATGCCTTGATCCATCATGTCCATCGATTGGTTTGAGAGATATAGGCCTCCAAAGTAGGTTCCTTGGACTGGGTTCCATACTTAGCCATTTCCCCCCCTTCTTCTTCCCAACCTTACTTCCTTCTTCCTCAAGCAATTCCAACTTCAAGATTGATCCAATTGGGATCATATCACATTGCAACTACAACTTTATGGAAGAAAGGAGGTGATGGCCTTTTCTGGTGCCACTACTAAGAGCATCTCCGTCCATGCAATTGCAAAAGAAATTGTATTCGTGTTTTTTAATGTCAACTCAAACTTTTTGCAATCCACATCACATTCATTTCATTCACATACATCAATGCAATTAACTTGCAATTGCAAATATCATTAAATATTATGTTTAAATTATAGAAAATTAAGTAAAAGAGAAAAGAAAATAATATAAAGTAAAAAATGCCCTTTTTTAGGCTTTTTTACTTGCATATGGAATTGCATTTGTTGCAAGCTTGCAAATATGCAATTGGTAGTCATATCAATGCAATTGGGTTTGCAATTGCAAACACCTATGTCATGTCATTTTGTAATTGAGAATGCAATACCAATATGGATGCTCTAAGGCAAGTCTACTTGTCGTAGGAACAATATTGTGGCAAGGTCATATTCCTACTGAGACTATGAACTACTAGTAATAGACTATATCTTATATTATTTAACTAGTCCTTTATCAATTCTTTTAATTAACTAACAAAAGGAGTGGAATTCAGCATAACAAAAGCATACCCTTACACAAATTCAAGCGGGGAAGGTGTTGTTCGAACTTTAAATCCTCCAAGCTAATTCATACATATCAATTGAGCATATATAGACATGATGTTATCTTTCTTTGCAACCGTAGCAATTTCCAATTTAGTATAACCTGGTATTCTTGCTTATTAATACCCTATTGTCTATTCAATCTAGATATGGTATTCTCTTGGACATAAATTCAATTGACCAATGCATTAACCTATGAAGTCAAAAGTGCAATTCTACCTAGAATCGAAAAGGGGTAAAATTGTAAAGCTTAGAATCAAAGTGCAAAAGCGTAAGTTTTTTACGCATATAGTAAGATAGCTAAAAATATGTTAAGTATGACATATACTATGTAAAATATGAGTGCACATAATTTAGATAAGTTAATAAATACCTTCAATTTACGTCTAAAGTAGAGCAACTCATAACATCTTAACAATAAGTTCATAAACATAGGAGCACTTCTACTATGCTATATAGTATGGTGCTTTAATGTACAACTTGAAGTTGTACCATAACATTAAATGTATAACTTTAGGTTGTACCATAAAGAAATTTGTATCATTATGTTATTGTACAACTTTACAACTTGAAGTTGTACCATCACATAAGGTACAAGTTTAAGTTGTACCATAAAAGAATTTGTACAAAAAGTATAGGTACAATATGAAGTTGTACCATAACATTAAAGGTACAATTTCAAGTTGTACCATAAAGGTAAAAACCTATAACACCAATGCTATATAACATTGTAAAATTCCTCATAAATATAGATCTTAACAATAAACCACATTCCCCTCTATACTAATGAATTTGGGAAGGGCCTAGATGTTGAATTAGAATATTCTATTGAATCAAAGAATGCATCCAAGTACCTGGAATGTATCTTTTAATCTCAAATGTATCTTATTGTGGTGATTTTACCTTTACAATATACTTTTTATAATTAATTTCATGAATAGAATACCATTTAGTGAACTAGAAGCGTAAAAGCATAAAACGTTTTGGTGAACTAGAAGCATAAAAGCGTAAGTTTTTAAACTTTAAAGTGTAATTTAGTCCAATTTTATATGGAAACGAAAGCGTTTTCATGACCTAGAATCATATAACCGTAAGCTTTTAAGTTTTAAAGCGTGATTTTAACTGCATTGCTAGTAACCAATTTCAGAATCACCCTATTAGGCTTAACCCTAATATGGAAATATCTCGCCCTCTATCTTCTAGCAACATGAGATTCTCTTCATCTAAGAGCATTCTTCATGCATATGGAGATCTTCTCCTAGTCATACATATGAAGCAATCAAGTAAAAAATAGGTGTGCAACTATTGAATACTCATATGATAAAATCAAAGATACATAAACATTGATATCCATATATAATCAATCAACTCAGTATGTCATAGTTAGGGTTCATCTAATACAAACAAAAAGAAGGATTAGTTCATGGAGAGTGGAGAAACAAACAAATTAAATTAGAGAAAGAAGAAACGATCTTCATGGTAGAACTCTTGATTGATTGCTCCAAGGTGACTCCTTTAGGGTAGAGCTATTGGAAAAATCCTCTCTTCTGCTCTTTAACTCGTATTTGATTGTTAGGTTTAGCATTGTCAAACTCCCTTTAATAAAAGACTTAAAAGAACTTAAATAGAAAAGACAGATAGTCGCACATGGCATTGTACTATGTACGACCTGACACATGGTCGGGCCCTGCTTGTGAACTCCTTGACATGAATTAAATTTTGCTAAATTTTTGGAATTGTGTTGATTCTTACCATGGCCTGCTCCTCAGCCGTGGGACTGACTTGGGGACCTTCGCAAATCCATATGAAAGCATGTCCCAAGTGCTCTCCAAGTCATCAAATGCACTAAAACTTCCATACTCTGTGTATTTATTGTCCAAATATCGTCAAATTCAATCTTTGTGACCTGAAACACACTTGAGAAACAAACCAGGCGTAAACTAGAAAAAACATAAGATTATTGCTAAAATGCTCCAATCCTTGTGATGCGCGAGCTGGTTCAGTAATTTGACGGCCAGACAGTCGAGTGGCTACTCTTCCAGGCGCGAGCTGCTATTAACATCGTTGCTTCCCCTATTGCCATTAAGATAACCCTATCTTCTTCAACTCTATTTTGGTTGTCGTAGTTGGCACGCTGCTACTACTGGTATTGATATCACCATAGTCACCCAACCCTTGATTGGTGTTTCCATCGCGATGATTCCACTGCTTTTGACTGTCAAGTATGGGTTGAGAGAAAATTGATAAGCACGAGACAGAGAGATCCGAGTTAGCTCCGGGTCGATAGAGGGGCTTGAGTTAGGTTGAGGTTGCTAAGCTTGAGCCATATGAATTATTTTAATATATAGTTTGATGATGTGACAATGTTGGACGAAAAGTTGATGAAAATTGACGAAATCATTGATTTGTTGGTTAGTGAGAATGTAGCCTATAGGTGACAAATTTGTTAAATTGAGAAGCAAGTGACCAATTTGTTAGTGACCTCAAATATAAGTGGCCTTTATGTTATTAACCCATATTTTATGATTAACGGTTTGATAATGTTATACCCAAGTAGTGCTTGGCAGGTAGGGTGTTACACTTGGGGCATTTAGCCCAACTTTATTTTGAAAAGAAGAAAAACACTTCTAGAAATATGGCTATAAAGATGGAAGGTTCATGCTTCGCTCAACTTACAACTTGGTCGAAGAGATGTTTGACGAGGAGTCGATTTCAAGATGGAAGGAGCTCTGGAGATGGAAGGACCCAAGTAGAGTTAAATTTTTCCTCTGGCTTGTCTGACACAATCGACTGATGACACATGCAGAGAGGAAAAAGAGAAACCTTGCAGGAAACGGTAAATGCATCCACTACAGCGACAAGGAAGAGATTGTGCAACATACCCTGGGAAGGTGTAAGAAGATTAGAGGAATTTGGAGTCACTTCCAAGGATAAAATCACCACGAATGCGACTAGCTTGGACTTCTCAGATTGGATCGATGAGAACATTAAGGCTGATAGCACGGGATCTGACTTTGGCATTATCTACTGGATGATCTAGAAGAAACGCAATGAGGAAGTCATGGACAAAAAGTCATTCAATAATAATGTTCTCATCTATAAAATCAAGGCGTGGATCGGGAGGTTCCACCAAGCCCAGCAATGTGAGAACACCTGCCTCCTACCCAACCCTATTACCAGATCAAGCAGAGAGACCGGATGGAGACCGTCGACTGAAGGACAAGAATGGCCGCTGCAGGTGGACTGCTTCGGGACAGTTTTGGAAGATGCTTGGGAGCCTTTGCTTGTAACTTGGGCATGTCTTCCATTACAAGAGCGAAGTTGAAGGGTGCTGAAATTGGTATTGAGATGGCATGGAACTTGGGATACAGAAATCTGGAAGTCAACTTGGACTCCACCACAACACTACAGATCAATGAAAACCAGAGGAATGATGACCACATGAGCGGTCTTATTACTAGACAGATTGGGATGCTTTTGGATCGTGACTAGACTATTAGATTTAAGCATGTGTTTAGATAAGGAAATTGTGCTGCTGATTTTTTGGCTTCTAAGGGTTATGATCTGTGTTTTAGTACACATTATTTCAATGTGTGCGACCCTCAACTTGAACATTGAATTTTTCTACTCCCTGAATTGTTAATTATGATTTAGAGCGCTTGCTGCCCGTCTTTCTATAAAAAAATCTGGCCAGACAGGCAGACATAGAGCTATTAGTTGCTACGTGGAGTTTTGGGATGGAAAATTGCATGCAAAACACGTACACAGCATTATTGATCGAATGTTTCTCAGCCCGAGCTGTGGAAGGGAAGAAAGAAACGCAACTACGCAATACGAAGGGTTGGGCTTTAGAAACTTAGTTATGGTGCTAACATGATATTTTGTTAATATATACTAACATGGACAGATTAGTATCCACGTGGGCAAGCCATGATCCGACGCCTAGGAACGATTGGTTTGGGCATCTGAGGAGAGAAGGCCAACTGACCGGTTTGGGTGGCTCATTCCCACGACCCAACTGAGAAAAGGGACAAAAAAATTCAAAATAAAAAACCACAACTTTTATTTTCAGTCTCCTCCTTTCTCTCCATCACTTTTCAGTTTCCTTCTCTCTCCTCGAAAATCTTTTCGTTTCCTCCTCCTCCCTCTCCCAATACGAACAAGAAATCCTCTTCGTTGACGGCAGTGAGGAAGAAGATCACGACTGCGACGGTATCATCTCTCGCTCTCTCTCTCTCTCTATCGATATATCTAAAGGCGATTTATCTATTTTCATTCAGGGAAAAGGGGCAAGAAGCTTTTCGAACGGAAGGTCGTTGATCAAAGAACAACATCACAGTCTGAGGTACACTTCTTCTCCTTCCTTATTTGTTGATTTTGTTTGTGGATACGAAGTTAGGGTTTCATGGATTTTTTTTGTCGAGTTGGGGATTCTGGGTTTTGGTTGGGATCTGGGATTCGATTTGTAGATCTGGAATAATAGTTTCTTTCATAGTGGATAACAGTTAGCATGCTTGGGATACTACTTTTTGATTATGTGGATATTGTTCTATGTTGTCTAGATATTCAAAATATTATGCATGGATATTTGTCCTCCATGTTTGGATATTTGTCTGCTCTTTAATGGATATTTCTCTATGCTTACATGATATTTATATGTGCTTCAGGGACTTTGCATAAATGGAAGACAAGGAGCACTCATTGCGGCCAACCTCCTACTTTCGCACTATAACGCCATGTAGCCGGGATTGGACTTGGGTTTATTGGTTGTCCAGATATTAGTTATGTGATGTATTGATATTTTTTCCTAAATTGGGATATTACTCTGCCATGTATGGATATTAATTCCCTTATACTTGTTCTGTGAGGTCAAGATATTTGCTAAATGATTACTTGATATTGCTCTGTTTGGAATGTTGTAATTGCCATGTCTTAATGACTTTGAAACCCTAAGATAATATCCATGATTCATTAAAAAAAAGATAATATCCACTAGTAAAAATGATAATATCCATCAAATAAAACAATATCCAAACATTATGAACTAATATCATTAAAGCCAAGACTAATATCAACTAATAAAACATTAAATACCCACACCAACCAGTTTAATATCCAACCACATACGACTAATCCTAAACCGTAAAACGCAAACACTAAACCCTAAACCCTTGAACCCTGAACCCTAATCACCAAACTATAAAATCTAAACCATAAATTGGTGTAATATGATTGATTAAGTTCGCGGTACTAGAAACCATACTTGATGAATGTGATGGTAGATGCTTAAATAAACAAAGAATCACATGGGAATACCTAAACCATAAATTGGTGTAATATGATTGACTAAGTTCGTGATACTAAAAACCATACTTGATGAAAATGATAGTAGATGTTTAAATAAACAAAGAATCACATTGAATAGTTACCAAAAGATAATATCCACTAGTGAAAAATATAATATCCATTGCAATCAAAATAATATCCTTACCGCCCAGACCAATACTTCTCCATTTAAAATTCAAATATTCGTACTGCCCAGACTAATATCCGACTACATAAACTACTATCATACACAAAGTAACATCCGTCTTCACAACAACTAACCATAAACTCTAAATCCTGAAACCTAAGCCTTAAACCCCAAACGCTAAACCCTTAACCCTAAACCCTAAACTAAATCCTAAATCATAAACACTGCTTAATGGCCTTCGGCGGGCAGCCCTAACTAAGGTTGCAAGCATTATGTGTGATGACTTGATAGTGTGTTTATTTGTCACGGCTGGATACGAGTTATCTCAGCGGCTCGAGTTTGTGAGAAAAAGCCAATATTGGCTCACGTAAGTATATGCTTACAAAAAAAGAGAAGATAGAAACCAGAGCAAAAAAAAAAGAGGTGGAGTTGAGAGAGAAAAAGTGGTTGGGTATTAATTGTTTATCACCTCTTATTTTTGGATACAACATGAGATTTCTTTCCCAAAAAATATAAATCCTGCCTAAAATAAAAAGGGGCCCCACAAAGCCATTGTTTTAGCTCTTCTTCCTCTGCTCGATTGGCCCATTCCCACGGGTTGGCCCAAAAAATAACTCACTTAAAATACCTGACCACAAACCAGCTTTCTCCTTCCTTGGATCACATATGGGCCACATGGCCCTCGTTTTGGCCCTGTTAGACTAACTCCAACCCACAAAGTGAAATTTGGCGCCCCAAATAGTCAAATATGGCTTTTTAGCTCCACAAATTTAATTTTCACTCCAACTCTACAAAAAGCTAAATTTAGCTTCTCACCTCCTTTTTTCAGTTTATTTCATAAATCATACTTATTTCCTCTAATTTTTATATTTCATTTTAATTTTTTTATATTTCATTATTACTTTTGAAAACATAACTTTCGATGTAATTTTTTTAAAATTTCGAGATAAAAAATTAGAAATTAATCGTTAATTTGTTACCGTTTACTACCGTTGTTTCTTTATTATATCAATAATCTATCATTTAAATTTATAATAAATTTTAACAAAAAAATAACCAATCACGAAGAGAAAAAGAAAAAAAAAACAAAATAAAAAAGAGGTTTGCCCCACCTCAATCCCCAAGCCATATTTGACTTTTCACTCTAAACAAGAGCTAAATTTGGGCCACATTAAATGCAAGACCCCAAATTTGGGGATTGTCCCCATTTTTTACAATTTGGCTCCAATGTTATCATCCCCAAATTTGGGGATCTCCATTTTTCTATTTTTCCATTTACTTATCGAAGTCTTAATATAATTTGTTAATGTTAATTTTTGTATAGTTCGTCATCATTTTTAGATACAAATTTTCTGATTGAATTTTTTTAAATTCCGAGTCCGAAATTTTTTGGCGAAAAAATTATGGACCTAATTTGGGTTTACACCAATGTTGTCAGAACCGGACCGGAGCATGACCCGATAATGTAAACGACTCGCATTTTAGTGGTCCAACCGATATTGGACCGTTAAAAAACCGTTAGAGAACCGGTACTTTATAAACAATAATATAATAAGTGGACTAGTAGAGACACATAAAATAACTATTTAATAATATAATGCCTAAAATGAAATTTGCTTTGCGGGTACGAACTAGTAATTTTACACTATATATATCAATTAAAAACCCTAACCCTACTCCTAGTGGCCGCTCCTCTTCCCATTCTCCATTCTTAGCAGCCGCCCCCTCTTTCCAATCCCCCTCTTTGCAATTTTCATGGTGGAGAAGAAGAAGCAACACCCAGCCAAATTTACACCCTCCTCCCCAGACTACTCCTTCAACCAGGGCTCGAAAGTAAAGGGCTCCGCTTCAGCTGCTAGTTCATCGTCAATTTCTTTACCAGCCGCCACGCTCGTCCTCTAGAGCTTCTCAAGCTCCTCTCCTACCCTCCCACCACCGTCGATAAAAAGAACCCCAAAAAGACCCGTTCCCGACCGCCACCGCGTTCCTCCCGTCTCACCGGAATTTGACCACCTGACCGTTCTTCTTCTTCTTCGTCGTTTTCCGTTGGACAAACAGAGCACCGGCCAGAAATTGAAAACCGGTCGGGCGGTTCGAGCGGTTCAAATGGTTAGCCATTTTGACCGCTTGCCAACCGATCATTCTACCCGTTACGGCTTTTGGACTCACCCGGGCCGATATGACGTTCGGGTTCCGGTTTTGGCGGTCCGACCGACCGGCTCGGGTCGGCTTTAATAACACTGGTTTACACACAACACTTGAAAATGATAAAGCTAAAGGAGTTCACATAATAATTTAAATGATACAACTTAGAGGTTACACACAACACTTGCTAATGATAAAGCTTAAATATTATACACAACACTTGCTAATGATAAAGCTTAAATATTATACACAACACTTGCTAATGATAAACCTTAAAAATAACACACAACACTTGAAATGATAAAGATGAACAGCAGAGGCTGGAAATCTGTTTACTGCGTCACCAAGCGTGATGCTTTCCGAGGCACGGCACCTATTAATCTCACGGACAGGCTCCACCAGGTGCTGAGGTGGGCCACCGGTTCAGTCGAGATCTTCTTCTCCCGCAACAATGCACAGCTCGCAAGCTCAAGGATGAAATTCCTCCAGAGAATAGCGTACCTCAACGTTGGCATATACCCATTCACGTCGGTGTTTCTGATCGTCTACTGCTTCCTGCCAGCGCTCTCCCTGTTCTCGGTGAGAAGAAACACAAAACGGCTAGGGTATTGGTGAAGGATCTCAAAAACTTGAGAGCTTCTTTTCTGCATTTCTCATATATATACAAACCCTGTACATCCTTTGTTTAATCCTAACGGCTAATTAACAGTAATAATAAACTAACTAATTAAACGGACCAGTGACCGAATGCCAATTGTCCTATATACAGTGTTTAACAACAGCTATCAACGAACTAAGAGAGACGACACCGTTTCGGCCTGTCTTCTTCTTCTTTCAAGGAAACGACCGCGTTCTGGACCAAACGCATCTTCGCCCATTAGACCACAACGTCGTCATTTCTTCGGGACTGGAAATCCTCAGCTGCAGTTCTTCCTTAGCAGCAGCAGCTTCGAGTTCATTTCTTCTTCAGCAGATCTTCAGCTGCTACTGCTCTGACTCATTACTCTGTTACCCCCCCCCCCCCCCCTCAAGCTGGCGAGTGTCTTCCTGACACTCCCAGCTTGGTCATGAGCATATTGAAACGATCAATGCCTAGGCTTTTAGTAAAGATATCTGCCAGCTGATATGTGGTAGAAACATGGTGCAAATCTATCAAACCATTCAACAATCTTTCCCTGATAACGTGGCAGTCAACTTCAATGTGCTTTGTGCTCTTGTGAAAGACTGGATTGCGAGCAATGTGAATGGCAGATTGGTTGTCGCAATAAACCTTCACTGGCTGTGAATGAACAACTCCAAAATCAGTTAGAATTCTAACTAGCCACTGAACTTCACAACTTAACTGTGCCAAAGCCCTGTACTCAGCCTCAGAGGAGGATCTGGAAACCGTGCTTTGCTTCTTTGTTCTCCAGCTTATCAGACAGGTTCCCAAAAACACACAATAACCTGTCAAAGATCTTCTAGAATCCGGGAAAGTTGCCCAATCATAGTCACTGTAACCAGTTAATTGAATTGCTGAGTCCTTTGAGTAAAACAACCCCTGCCCTGGTGAGTTTCTTAGGTATCTGAATACCCTTTGCAAAGCCTTGTAATGCACCACTGTGGGAGAGTCTTGGAACTGACAAAGTTGCTGAACAGCAAAGCTAATGTCAGGTCTGGTGCTGGTCAAGTATTACAGTTGCCCCAGCAAATGCTTAAACTTGCTGACATCCAGGTAGGGGTCTCCATCTGCAGCAGAAAGAACCTGCTTGATGCTAGATGGAGTCTTGGCAGGTTTACATTCATCAAACCCTGCTTCTTTCAGCAATTCTGTACAATATTTCCTCTGTGAAACATATATTCCATCTGCTGATCTATTAACTTCCAGTCCAAGAAAATACTGAAGTTCCCCCAAGTCCTTCATTTTGAATAAAGACTTCAGCATGTTCTTAACTGTAACTACTGCATCTAGATCAGCACTTCCAACAACAATATCATCAACATAAACAATCAACACAACTAATTTCCCTTTGACATCAGTGAGAAATATTGAATAATCAGACATTGATTGTCTGAATCCATGAGCCAAAAGTGACTCTGTCAACTTAGCATACAACATTCTGCTGGCTTGTTTCAAGCCATAGAGTGACTTCTTCAACTTGCAAACTTTCCCTTTGAACTCAGGTTTGTCTCTCAACCCCTCTGGCAATTCCATGTAAACATCCTCATCCAAATCACCATTTAAAAACGCATTGTTAACATCCATTTGGTGAAGATGTCAGTTTTGAACTGAAGCAATTGCAAGTAACGTTTTGACTGAGGTTAATTTGGCAACAGGTGAAAAGGTATCACAAAAATCAATACCATACACTTGTGTGTAACCTTTGGCAACCAATCGTGCTTTAAACCTCTCTATGGTGCCATCTGAATGGTATTTTATTCGAAAAACCCACTTGTTGCCAACTGCCTTAACTCCCCCTGGCAAGTCAGTGATATCCCAGGTATTGTTGTCAAACAAAGCTTTCAGTTCCTCCAGCATAGCAGCATTCCATCTAGGATCTAGTGCAGCCTGTGCATAGCAAGTTGGTTCAATGGCTGCAGCTAACATCATAGCAAAATGCTGCTGCTGAGGTGTGAGGTGAGACAAGTCTGAAGGAACTGTGGAACTGGGATCAACACTGACTTGATGCAAACCCACATAAAAATCATCATACTTCTTGGGAAAGATCACTTGCCTTGTGGATCGCCTTAGGGGTACTAAAGGTGAGGATGAAGAGGTAGGAGGTGTTGTCTCAGCAACTGGAGGTGCTGGGACACAAGAAGTAGCAGAGGAATTGCTACCTGATGGGGTTGATGCAGCAGGAGACTGAACTGAAGGGGAGTGTGGTATGGTTGTTGTGACAGAAGGAACTTAATAGTCTGTCAGCTCATGCTCAGAGGAAGGAGAATCTGAACAAGGAGAGACTCCTGGACTAGAATAAGACACAGGAACAGAAGGAAATGGAACATCAAGTCCTTCTGCAGATTCAGAATTGGAAGTAGAACTTCGAAATGGCAAAATTTTCTCATGAAACAAAACATCACGACTGATAAAGATCTCTTTGTGTCAAGCTCTAACAGTTTGTAACCCTTGATACCTGTTGGTATCCCTAGAAAGACACATTGCCTAGACCTGGGGTCAAATTTATGTTTGTGTCCTTCTACAACTGTGGCATAGGCTAAACAACCAAAGACCTTCAAATTCATGTAATCAGGTGGGACTTTGTGCAGAACTTCAAAAGGTGTTTTGTGGTTTAGAATAGGGGTTGGTGTTCTGTTGATTAGGTAAGCAGCATGAAGTACAAAATCCCCCCAAAAACGTAATGGTAGACCTGACTGGTGTTTAAGACATCGAGCTACATTAAGTAGATGTTGGTGTTTACGCTCCACTCTACCATTTTGCTGAGCTGTGTAAACACAGCTCATTTCATGGATGATTCCATGAGCAGAATAGAAATCCATCATGTGGAATTCTTGCCCCTGATCTGACCTTACAACCTTAACAGAAGTGGAAAACTGGGTCTGCACCATAAGACAAAAGGATTGCAAAGTTGGTCTGGCTTCAGCCTTTGATTTAAGAAGAAAGACCCAAACAGCACGACTATGGTCATCTACAACTGTTAGGAAATAGGAGAAACCATCTCTGGAAACAACATTCAAAGGACCCCAGATGTCTACATGTATCAAATCAAAAACATGGGAACTGTTTGAGGTGCTAATGGGAAAGGGGAGCCTCCTTTGCTTTGACAAGTGACAGACCTCACAATGGTGAGTTGTAGGAAGTAAAACTTCATTACATTTCTGTTTAACAACCCTCAATCTAGACAAAGAAGGATGTCCTAATCTGGCATGCCAGATGTTAAAATCTTGACTCTGGAAATTGAAAACTCCTGCTGCAAACTTCTGGGAATCCTTAGGAACTGCAAACTCCTGATTTTTGGACTCTGTAAACAGGTAAAGACCTCTATCCACTTGGGCTAAACCAATCCTCCTCCGTGTAATAAGGTCCTGAATCACACAGAAGTTGGATTTGAAAGTCAATGAGACTGGATGGTTTTGGGTTAACTTGCTTACAGAAACCAAATTGTAAGCAAAAGAAGGAACAAAGAGAACTTGAGTAATGAATAATCCACAAGGCAAAGTTACTATCCCTATATGTGTAGCTTGCACTTGCTGGGCATTTGGCAGTGTTACAAACACTTGTTTCAGTGGCTTAAACCTCTTGAAGTATTTCATATCACAAATGATATGATCTGTGGCTCCAGTATCCAACACCCAAACAGTACTGCGTGGTGAATCAAGCATGGTAGAGAAGATGTGTTTACCTGAAGAGTTGGCAGCATTGAACATTGGCTGAGAAGAAGCCATTGGTTTCTTACCAGAGTTAGCAACTGGTTGTCTTACTGCCACTGCTGCTGTGTGTTGAATACCAGGAGAGCTTGGTGGTGATGATGAGGGAGAAGCTGATCTGTTGAGCATGTTTTTGAGTTGCTCTAACTGATCATGAGTTAGCAAACTCATCAAGTCCCCCTCAGACTTACCTCCACTTTGTGCAGAAGAATGAGAACTTCCTGCATCAGCAAGTGAGGTTTCCACAGAACCAGCAAAAACACCCTCACTCTCCTTCTTTTGTTTGTTCTTCAGCTTGTAACACTCATCAATGGTATGGTACTCTTTCTTACAGAAACGACACCATTTCTTACCATCCTTAGTGTAATCTCTAGGATTCTTTCCACCTTGACTAGATTGTCCACCCTTTTGTTGTCTGTTCTGATGTCCTGCCATCAGGGCAAGGGACTCTACCCTACCCTTACTTGAAGTTAAACCTTTCATCTGTCTTTCCAATTGCACCATTTGCTTAAAAATAGCTTCGATTGGGGGCAATTGAGTGTTCATCGGCACCTGTGTTCTTGCTGATTGATACACATCATTGAGCCCTTGCATAAACTTGATAATGAGATCATGTTCCTGATATCGTTGGACAGTAAAGAAGGGACTGTTTGGGCAAGGACAGCAAGTGACGGGTCTATACATCTTGTATTCCTGCCACTTTGTGGTCAAAGCAGTATAGTATTGTGTAACGGTGAGATCTCCTTGAACAAGCTTCCCAATCTGCTCATTCAACTCATAAACCCTGATAAAATCTGCCTGACTGAACCTATCCTTCAAGTTATCCCATACATCCTTAGCTACTTTGTAAGGGACGACACTATTTGCAATGTCATCCGAGAGAGAGTTATAGATCCAGCAACGAACAGTACTGTCACAACGGTGCCATGACTGCCAAATTGGATCTCCCACTTGGGGTACAAGAATCATTCCATTCACAAACTGTAACTTGTTTTTGATGCTAAGAGCAAGCTCCATTACCTGGCTCCAGAGATTGTAGTTCTGGTCTGTAAGTTTCATCGAGATAATGGTTGTCAAACCTCCATCATGAGGAGGAAGATAGTATGGGTTGAGGTAGGGGTCTTCATATCGAGGAACCACCGGAGGAATAAATTGATTCATCTCTTGTCGATGCTGACCAGCTGGTGGCGTTCGCGGCAGCGTTGAATCATTCGCTGATGCAATTTCATCTTCCACCTCATCTGCAACAAACCCATCAGTCTGGTTCTCTGGAATCGACATTGTGAATCGAAGAAAGTGAAATTAGTGAAGAAGAAAATTGAGATCTGGTTCAGATAGCCAAACCAGGCTCTGATACTATGAGAAGAAACACAAAACGGCTAGGGTTTTGGTGAAGGATCTCAAAAACTTGAGAGCTTCTTTTCTGCATTTCTCATATATATACAAACCCTGTACATCCTTTGTTTAATCCTAACGGCTAATTAACAGTAATAATAAACTAACTAATTAAACGGACCAGTGACCGAATGCCAACTGTCCTATATACAGTGTTTAACAACAGCTATCAACGAACTAAGAGAGACGACACCGTTTCGGCCTGTCTTCTTCTTCTTTCAAGGAAACGACCGCGTTCTGGACCGAACGCATCTTCGCCCATTAGACCACAACTTCGTCGTTTCTTCGGGACTGGAAATCCTCAGCTGCAGTTCTTCCTTAGCAGCAGCAGCTTCGAGTTCATTTCTTCTTCAGCAGATCTTCAGCTGCTACTGCTCTGACTCATTACTCTGTTACTCGGGGCAGTTCATCGTGCAGTCCCTGAACGTGACTTTCCTCGTGTACCTGCTCATCATTTCGGTGACGCTGTGCATGCTGGCAGTGTTGGAGATCAAGTGGTTCGGGATAGAGCTGGAGGAGTGGTGGAGGAACGAGCAGTTCTGGTTGATTGGTGGGACCAGCGCTCACCTGGCAGCGGTGCTTCAGGGTCTGCTGAAGGTGGTGGCCGGGATCGAGATCTCCTTCACTCTGACCTCAAAGTCGGGAGGTGATGATGTGGACGATGAATTTGCGGATCTGTATATTGTGAAGTGGACGTCTCTGATGACACCGCCGATTGTGATATCTGATTGCGATAGCGGTGGGGGTGAGCAGGACGATATACAGCGCGATTCCGCAGTGGAGCAGGCTGCTGGGAGGGGTGTTCTTCAGCTTCTGGGTGCTGGCTCATCTCTATCCATTTGCCAAGGGGCTGATGGGGAGGAGAAGGATGACGCCGACGATCGTGTTTGTGTGGTCGGGGCTGGTGGCTATCACCATATCTTTGCTTTGGGTGGCCATCAATCCTCCATCGAACACTAACCAAATTGGGGGATCCTTCCAGTTCCCCTGATCATGAACTAGTTTTTAATGCAGCTTGATTTTGACGTGATTGCCAGCCGTTATTCCTTCATTAGATTATTTCTACTATATATTGGTTCTCTTTTTCTTCAATCTCTTTTTGTAACTGTGACCGAACAAACAGAAGTATATGTCTTTCTATCCCTTTTGTAATGGGAAGTTTGATTTAGTGTTGATCAATCTTACAGCAGGTGACTAGTGAAGGTTCTGCAAACAGATTAACACTATGTTTGGGAAGGGGTGTAAATGGAAGGGGTGCAAGTTTGGAGGGGTAAACACAAGTTCCAAGGTGTTTACCCCCGTTTGGTTATTTTGTAACAGTAGGGGGGTGCAAAACGTGAGCGTAAATTCACTGTTTCGGCTTACCCCCCAAATTGGGGTGCAAGGGAAGGAAGGAAGGGAGGGGGAAGGGGGAGGAGGGGAATTATGAATTTTTAATTAGATTATAATTACATAATAATTAATATTATTAATTTTTTCTTATATCTATATTAGTGTAGAAGTTGTTTGGGGTTGACCGTTTGACTCAGAGAGCAAGTTTGTCAATGTTCGCCTCGTCAAATCGATATCTCTTAGTTGACCCGAATTGCATTGAAAATTAGAGATAAGAAGCATTTGTTGAAAAGATAGAGAGGAACAGTTTAGTTAACTCGATTTACTTTAATAAGTAGTTAAAACTTACTGATTCGAACGTGTTTGACTAAGTTTGACCATATTCAATTTAAAGTTAGGCACGAGAACCCCCTTAGGATGATCAGTTACGAGTTGGATTTCGAGTTTCGAGGTTGCTCGACCAATGATTATTAGTGTTGCTATAAATAATTATATTTGAGCATTATTATATAATAATTATTTTTATTAAAATTAAAATTAAAATTATTTATTATTTTTATTTATTATTTTTATTATTATATATTGAATTTTCATGTTATTATTTTGTGATAATATTTTATAAATTGATAAATCTATTTTATAATAATATAATTACTTACTTTTTACTCTATTTGCACCCCCCTACTTTTTCATCCAAACAACAATTTACCCCTCCACTTACACCCTCCACCAAGTTGCACCCCCCAACAATTTACCCCTCAACTTGTACCCCCCTCGAACTTGCACCCCCCTTGTTGCCAAACATAGTGTAAAGAAAACTAGCTTTGACTGGCCGAAACCTAAATTTTTTTGTTACCATCATTCCAGTCAAATAACCTCACCTATCCGCTCTTGCATTCGATACCCGGAGGAAGAATAAGGCGAACGGAGCAGACAGTATAAACCTTCACTTTCAGGCAAAATCCCGAGTAAACTCCTGCATTTGTCAATGTCATTTCCCCTTTCAAATTAGTGCATGTATGTGTTCGAATCGAAAGGGTGGAATTAACCATAGAAGAATTTTGAAACATGACCTTACGCCGTACTAAAACAGCGTTATCACTCTCAGTCAAATGGATCATCGGGAAGGAATTTCAAAAATCGACATTCACAAAGTTCAATTGAACTTTCTTATTGTACACATGTATGACTTTGGAGCATCAGAGGAGGGTTTCAAGAGCAATTGCAGAGCTGGATTTTGCAATTCTTCCATCTCTGTTTTTTAAAACTTCTCAATGTGTTAAAAAAACACTTCTCAATACGACGATTGTAATCAATTCAAAACTCAAGTTGATGACCCGGAAACTTAGTCGAGGATAATATTCAATGCGATTATGAAAGATGCAAATGATGATGGTGGGCAAACATAGGCTTTCTTGTTCATCTAAGCGATGCATCACTCAAATTACATATTTTCCCCGCAAAACTAAGATCCACATTCAGACCGATAGTGACCGCCTTCCAGGCTCCAGCTTTCTTCTGTTCGCAAACTCCAACATGTCCCAGCCAGTATCATGCTGCATGGATCGATGTAATCTATCTCCCCTATCTCAGCCTTTCAAGTGAAAGATAATCCTTGGGTACAGAGTAAGAAATCACCCTCAGTGATCCTATCACGCATCACATTCACAGGTTCAAAGATCTAAGGAAACAGACTAAGAAGCTCCAACTTCTCACAGATTTTGATGGCAGGATGATACCTAATAACCAATATGTCCCGACCCCTATCAAGTGCAGTGTAGAAATATGAGTCTTTGCAATATCAAGCTAGTTAGCAAGCTTAAGAACAGAAACCTCGCAATACCAGTAATCATGGGATCAATCCTCTACACGTTATGGAAGTGATAGCATTCCCATGCTCGGCAGGATACAGTTATGCAAATCATCTCCCTAGATGCCAAATAATACTGCGCAAGGTAAGAAGCATACAAATCCATAGAATCAAAACAAGGAAATGGATGGATATCCCAATTTCTGCTGATAATTCACAAGGTAGACACATCAACAGCTTTATTCCCCTGGTACTCAAAACCAAACTGCTATAATTTTGGAATGCATAAAGAAGTTCATAAAGCATGCCAAAGATGGCATGGATTGCCCCGGTAACATATAATGTAGTCAAATGCTTTTGTCCTTCCTCACATACAGAGATAAGTCGTACCAAGCTCCTAGTGATGATGATCCTGGACATACCGCAGACCACAATATTTGCAAACTGCAGGCTCCTTCAGGTCCAAGCAGATGAACTCAATTGGATGACCAAGTGCAGGGTTCGTATCTGCAGAACCAAACAGACCCCAATTAGCTGAACGGCTCCAGCTAGATTATCTCTTTCCGTCACTATTTCCTCTCAAGATTATGATTTATGACACCACGCCACTACGCAAACCACAAATTAAGATGCACTAGTAGTAAGAGTTACAAAACTAACCCCCTTCACATGCGGCAATCCTTCCCTCAACCTTGATGGGAGGAATCTCGTTGATCAACTCCATTGGAGATTTTTTGGTTGTATCCTACAAGAGAAAAACCAACCCTTTTTCAAGCTCTTATTCTTCTTCAAACGGAAAATTCCTCTCAGGACTGCAATGGAAACTACAGTTACGTTTGATACAGCAAAAAGAACCATAATTCAGGGAAAAGAGGTGCCTGTTCCTTTCTTTGGGAGGAGAGGGGGTGGTTTGAAGACTAAAATTCGAGCAGCATGAAACCCAATGCCTCGTAACCGTGAACATGAGGTCGTGAAGAACACAATGGAAAAATATCCACCCTTGAATCCAATTCAAGGAAAGCACGAAACTTTAACCGACTGGTGAAATTACTCGTGTGTATCAACGCCCAATGTGTAGGTTAGGAACTCGACTAATAATCCATTCCCAATATCTGATTCTACCAAGCAAGAGTAAGGATATCCAGAAAGAATCCTAGATGTTCAAAGGAAGAGTGAATCGAATAGGAAGAAGAAGAAGAAAAAAATGGAAGAGAAAAGCACCTGCATCCATTTGGCGGTGTGTGGGCTGACTTGGCTGCTAACAAGGCTCAAATTTCTGGTTGCGGTGGTGGAACCCAGCAAAGCGGACGATCGTCCCGCTAGGGATTTCAGCAAAATTGACGCCATCGTAGGAAAGAATGGGAGCTTGTTGCTGCTTGCAATGCGCGAGCGCCCTGACCTGACCTTGAAGAAATGAATCGGTTCGGTTGGCAATTCTGCAGAGAGGAGAGGAGAGGAGAGGCTGCCTTCCTTTTGGTTCTGAAAGGAGAGTTTGGATTTCATTTACAAATTTTTGGGCCTGTACCCTGTAACCCAAAATGGGCCCAGGCCCAACGTGGACTACTACTACATTTTCGAGAAAAGCGAAACGGTCCTAAATCGGTGTGCAACAACGGAAAGGGGATTCAAATTCAAACTTGGTCATTTGGCTGATTGGCTCCGGCTACCGCTTTTTCCCTCCACCTCCTGATCTCTCTCAAACCAAACCCTGCTCCGGCGAAATGGCGGCGAGCGCCAGCAATCAGCTTTCCACGCCGTCCAAGACTCCTCACTCCAGAAAACACCATCTCCACCACCAAAACAACTCCTCTTCGTCGTCTAGGTTCGAAGCCTACAATCGCTTGCAAGCAGCAGCGGTAGCATTCGGCGAGAAACTCCCCATCCCGGAGATCGTAGCCATTGGCGGCCAATCAGATGGCAAGAGCTCCCTTCTCGAAGCGCTCCTCGGTTTCCGCTTCAATGTCCGCGAGGTCGAGATGGGTACTCGCAGACCTCTTATACTCCAGATGGTCCATGACCCCACCGCTCTCGAGCCCCGTTGCCGTTTTCAGGTCTCTTATCGCTCTCTCTCTCTCTCTCTCTCTCTCTCTCTCTCTCTCTCTCTCTCTCTCTCTCTCTCTCTTGCAGATTAGCTTCAGCACTTGAACCTACTGTCCCAGATTGTACCTATTTTAACTCCATAAATATGCTCACTTAACCCAATTGTGTAGAAACCCTTAGGGTTTTTCATTTCAAATGGTGGTGTGGTTTTTTGATTGTGACCTTGAACGGCTTACAGAACCACATTGTGTATTCTCCGAGATGAATTGTCATTTGAAAGTGAAATGTCTTCAGATGTACTGAGATTCTCTACTCTTGATCGCCGCAGGAAGAGGATTCCGAGGAATACGGCAGTCCTATTCTTTCCGGACCTGCAATTGCAGATGTTATAAAGTCGCGGACGGAGGCACTTTTGAAGATCACAAAAGCTGCGGTTTCTGCTAAGCCACTTGTGATGAGGGCTGAATATGCACACTGCCCCAATCTCACAATCATTGATACCCCTGGCTTTGTCCTCAAGGTGGGTGGAGGAAACTTTCCACATTTGTGTCCTATCACCATCACTGGTACCCTTCAAATGGTTTTGATATGTCTTTTGTGATGGGTTTGTGGGCAGGCTAAGAAAGGAGAACCAGAGAACACACCGGATGAAATCATTTCCATGGTGAAGTCACTGGCTAGCCCTCCACATCGGATCATCGTGTTTCTTCAACAGAGTAGTGTTGAGTGGTGCTCATCATTGTGGTTGGATGCAATTCGTGAAATCGATCCCTCTTTCAGAAGGACAGTAATTGTTGTTTCCAAATTTGACAATCGTCTCAAGGTACCCCACTCCTACTTGCCCTCTCTCGCACCTTCTGTAACTGTTAAACCCTATATTTCATGACTGTTTCTTTGTCTATTGAGGCATCATTTCTCTGCCTTTTTTCTTTCTTTCCGTTGGTTTAATGAAGGAGTTCACTGATCGTTGGGAAGTAGATCGCTACTTGAGTGCAAGTGGATACCTTGGAGAGAATTGTCGCCCATTCTTTGTTGCCCTTCCGAAGGACAGAAGTATAGTCTCGAATGATGAGTTCCGCAGGCAAATATCTCATGTGGACTCTGAAATCCTGTGTCATTTGCGTGATGGTGTCAAGGGTGGGTTTGATGAAGAGAAGTTTGGTACACATATTGGCTTCAGTAGCCTCAGAGACTTTTTGGAGTCCGAACTTCAAAAGAGATATAAAGATGCCGCACCAGCTACTCTAGCTTTGCTTGAGCAGCGTTGCAGTGAAGTTGGCATAGAGCTGGCTAGAATGGACTCCAAAATAGAGGCTACATCTGATGTTGCTCATCTTCGCAGATCTGCTATGTTGTATGCAGCTTCCCTAAGTAATCATTTGGTAAGCAACCATACAAATCTTACTACACTTACTCACCAAGTACTTCAGTTGGCTGACAATTTCCTTCCTTTATATCCATCTCAATTATTTTATCTTCTCATTTCAGCGCAAACATTTACATTTCCCCTTTTAGTATATGGTAGAATTATGCTTACCATGCCGGTAAGATAAATTAGTTTGTACTAGAATGTTTAAGCATGTGACTCGCATTTTTGCTTACTTTCAAGAAAATGTTGCTCTTGTCTGATTTTTTTGTGAAGCGAGCTCTGATTGATGGAGCAGCAGATCCTGCCCCAGAGCAGTGGGGCAAAACAACTCAAGAAGAACAGTCAGAGAGTGGTCTAGATAGTTGGCCCGGTGTAGCAGTGAATATAAGACCTCCTAATGCCTCTCTCAAGCTTTATGGAGGAGCGGCTTTTGAGAGAGTTATGCATGAATTCAGGTGTGCCGCATATTCCATTGAATGCCCTCCAATCTCGAGGGAAAAGGTATTATTTACTGTCACTAAGCTGCTTCTTTTGGATTTTTTTTTTCCTGGGAAAAGAAGCTAAATATAAATGTTCAATTCCAAGAAATGAACCATTTGATATATGTTCTTCTGAAATAGGTAGCCAACATATTATTAGCTCATGCTGGACGTGGTGGAAACAAAGGTGTAGTAGAAGCTTCTGCCGAGATTGCTCGTTCTGCTGCTCGCTCATGGCTTGCTCCCCTACTTGACACAGCATGCGATCGTCTGGCTTTTGTTTTGGGGAACCTTTTTGATATTGCCCTGGAAAGAAGCCATTTTCGTGAACTAGAGTGTAAGCAACCTATTACACATCCTTAGTCATAACTCATATGTTCTGCTTTCCTGGTACACATTTATTCTCTTCTGGAACGTCTCAATTAATTTGCACAATCAAAGGGTTTGGTACTTGGTTGTCCAAATATGCAGATGGGAAGAAAAACGGAAACATGGAAGGCTATGTTGGTTTCCATGCTGCACTGAGGCGAGCTTATAACCGATTCATTAGCGACCTTACTCAGCAGAGCAAGCAATTGATCAGACATCACCTTGATTCAGTGACAAGCCCATATTCGGAAGTCTGTTACGAGAGTGACTTTCACGGAGGCATTGGCTCAAGTAATTTGAGATTCGGCCAAGCCTCTTCTACTATTCCATTTTGCTTGGAGCTGTCAAACGGTGGGAGCTCATGCCACAACAATGAAGAGAAAAGAGAACAAGAGAACATCCCTCCAGAAAAGAGCAATGCACAAGAAACCACCCCAGGAAAAGGCGGCGGTGAAACAAGAGAAGCTCTGAAAGAAAGCAATATGACTGTGCCTGAGACGCCCTCTCCTGAGATGCCATGTGAGGTTGTGAAGAAGGACAACGGACACTACGTGGAACTTGGACCCAGAAAGCGGATTTCACGAATGACGGGAAATGGCAGAAACCATGAGCTCGTGAAACTTCAGAACGGCGACAGCCGCCTTCTTGTGTTTGGCAATAATGGGGATACGGGCTCGAGGGCAGGAGGCTCAGCGTACTCGGACATTTGCTCCTACGCTGCCCAACATTTTGCTCGAATACGTGAACTTCTGCTTGAACGGAGCGTGACGTCGACTTTGAACTCCGGTTTTTTGACACCCTGGTGCGGTTTTGTTTCACTCATTCCCTGTTCTGATTATACATGAACTGTCTGGCTGTTTTGTTTTGTTTTGTTTGTGATGTGTATATGTTGTTGGTTGCTGTGCTGATTGCAGCCGAGACGAGCTGGTAGTGACACTTGGACTGGAGCTGTTTGCTGCAACAGACGACAAGTTCATGGAGATGTTCGTGGCACCTGGCGCCATTGATGTGCTGACAAACGAACGGCAGTCGCTTCAGAAGAGACAGAAGATACTCCAATCTTGTTTAACTGAATTCAAGACCATATCTCAGACACTCTGATTGAGGAAGAAGGGCACACTTGGAGGGAACCTGTTGTCGCCGGCCGGCCACCAGATTTTGGTTAGTTGTTTGCTGCCGTGGTTATCTCATCCACACAGAGACAGAATCTACTTGTTGACTGTTGTAACTTGTAACCTCCTAAAAAGCCCAAGATTTTGATTCTATCTCTATCATCGGGGGGAAAGGATGTGGTGACCAAGCTCGTGCCTTTAGTTCTTCATAAATTTGTGTAAGATGGCAAATTGTCCTTAAATTTAAGGAGATTGTACGGGCCGGTTATAATATGATAATAATATTAAAAAAATGTTTCAAGTTTAAATTTCAGTAATATGTCAATTCTCTTTCAATTCATGTGATGATTATATGTCAATGTTTGAATTAAAAAATAGTGTTATTCATTTTCCAAAATAGCAAGATTTTTTTTTTTTTTTTACTATTAAGCAAGTGGGTTGCAATTTAATAACAGTAATTAACAAAGGTTTTTATGTCACTCTTACAACAAAACTTCAACGAAGGTTTCTAGTTTAAATTTCAATAATCTTTCTCTCCTCTTATATTTGTGTCATGATTATATGTCAATATGTCATGCCAATTAACAAAAAATGGTAAATTTAACAACATAGCAATGCAGTTTCTTAGTTTTTTACTGATACGAAAGTTAAATTATTCAATCGTCGATAAGAGCATCCATCATACATATTACTACATTGTAATCATTGTATTCTATGCAGATTTTGGTTGAAATTAAAACGATAGGACTCATGCAAGGGAATATCACCTCATGCTAAACTTAATGACACAATGTGATAGGTATTCCAAAATGATTGATTCAAATTCTTTACCATCAAGAATCTCCATCATCAACTGATATTGAATGAATAGTCTTTTCTCAAGCAACCATAGGAGCTTAATCTCATTTTTTATCATAAAATAATTAAAATAAAATAATGTAAGTTGCATTTATAAGTTTCGACATAATAAGAAAGATTTAATTAATATTGTAAGAATTTTATCTTGTGTGAAGTTCAATCACTTTAGGAAAATCAAGATCAGGTAGCTCCAATGTATGTGAATAACTTTTCATCCACAAAGGTGGCCAATCATGAATAGATGATAAATAACAATTTAAGTAAAAATAATAAAAAATAATCTAAGTTGCATATTTAAGTTTCAACCTAATAAGAAAGATTTTTTAACATTGTTAGAATGTTACCTTGTGTTTTAATAAGTCGCACAATTGGTTTTGGCCGATCTCCTTAATACAATTAAGATTTAACCATACCAAATTACCAACGATAAAATAATATGAGGCTACTCGAGTACTCCATCACTTTCGTATGGAATTATGGGCCCACTCTGTATGACCAATTGGCCATAAACATAGTTAAAGCCCCCTTCGTCCTCGCTCATGTGGAATTATGTGCCCATTAAAATGTTATTTTTACTAAACTGTCCCTCCTTTCTCTGCGCATGAATCAGGAAATTTGAAACTAAAGGGGTCTAAGAGGAGAACCTCCATACTGCCCCTCGGTTTTCTGCGCAAGAATCAGGAAATTTGAAACTGAAGGGGTCTAGGAGGAGAACCTCCATATAATAAGGGGAGGATATGGAAAAATTTGGCAAAACCCCAATGTTCTTAGTCCTAGAAAAACAGAGAGATGATAAATCGATGAGATAGTTAATATTTTGTGACATATTGAAATTTATGGCGATATTGACATAATAAAAGGAGTACTCGACAATATATTATATGTGATATATAGATATATAGGGACACAAATCGGAAACTAAAAAAGCTTAACCCTAAACATATGAGAAATACAGCTAAATTGCATTGGTCACTTAAATTACTAGTAAATTTCACGTTAGTCGCTAGAATTACTTTATTCCATCCGTAGTCACTTAACTTAGGTTAACAGTTCAAGTTTGGTCACTGGCCGATAGTCTCCATTAATTCGTTATTGCATACTTTCTGGATCGATCAAAATCTTACATGTTACTAACGATGATCAAATTGATGATGACTTTCACCAAGTCTTTGCCAATATTTGTGTTTTCAGACTAATCTCCCGACTAAATTTAGCATTTTTTGTATTTGCAATTATCTGCATAAATTTTGCCATTGCTTAAGCCGCTGGTTATAGCATAAAGTATTTTCCGATTGTAAATGCACTAAGATTAAATAAATAAATATTCCATAAAAATAAAAACGGCCAAAACGGCAAAAATGAAAATGTCTTGTCTTGTTTCAGTTCTAAAACTACAGACAGAGAGAGAGAGAGAGAGAGAGACTGCATTCGTTCCCTAGCCGAGTTGGTCTAATTGAACGAACCTCTCTATTCGCTCAGTGAAGATTCATTAGTCGTGGAGAAAGTCTCTTTTCTGGCTCTGCTGATGGCGGTAAACCTTCCTTTCTCATTCTCATTGTGTTGCTTTCCTTTCTAGACTATACTTTATACCCTCAATCCAATGAATCCCTACCATGGCAATCCTCTAGCGACTGGTTTTGACTTCTCAAATCTTTCCACCTCTCTGCCTGCGTTCCGAAGATCTAACTGTGCTTTCGCCATGGCTTCAATACTCGCTCCAGGAAATCCCTAGTTTCTATTAAAAGGGGCGACTCTCTCCCTTGATTAGATCTTTCCTGTGGATACTGATTGGTTGTTTCTCACTCTGCGGAGCCTGCCTTGTCAAGATGAGTTTCAGTGATCTCGAGTAGATAGATTGCTTATTAGGGATATCTAATTGGAGTTAACTGCCTGAACTTCAACCTTTTAGGAGCTGTAAACACTTCCAGCTCAGTGTTATTGTGGACATTCACATTGAGAGGGGTAGAGCGTTGACCAGGTTTTCATAGACAAGAGCTGGGAGCTTTGTTGCTTCTAAATTGGCTTTCTTGAATGTCCCTTTTGTTTACATACATACATACATACATACATACATACATACATCCATAAGGTTCGATGTGGTTACGTTGTTGATTTAGTTTTATTGGTATCCGATTTGCATTATGCAGGCTCAGTTTGTTTGATGTTCTTTGTTGCCATAAGGACTGAATAGTGCCCTGTATAGTGTTTTTTGGTTCCGTAACGGTATTGTTTTGGTAATGTTCAATGATTAATTCCCTTTTGGTTTGTTTATATCCCTTCCATCGCAGGCATCAGCTGTCAAAGTGAGCAATGTCTCATTGGGAGCAACTGAGCAAGACATAAAGGAGTTCTTTTCTTTTTCTGGTGAAATTGAGTGTATTGATATGCACAGGTTATTTGTTTTCAGAAACTTTTGATAATCTTCCATTACTTGGTTGTTGCCGTGGTTGGATATCGAGCACCTATTTATTCTTTGAATTCTGTACTTTTGGGCTTCCTTTCAGTGACACTGAGCGCTCTCAAATCGCATACATAAGATTCAAAGACTCCCAGGGGGCCGAGACTGCAAAATGTCTATCGGTGCGACGAATTTTACCCCTTACAAGGGGTTACATTTCTCCATGATCTCAACCCCCTTTCCAGCTTTCTACTTTTCTTTCCGAGTTAAGCCGAGTACCGTTGTTCTACTACATTATTTGTTGATGGTGTCATGTCTGTATACAGTTTTGAATAGAATATTAATCAAGAAATGCATTATGCATATGCCTTTGTTTGGACATTCTGCCTCTTACAGCTCCGTCCTGTTTTCTTCCAGGGAGCAACAATTGTGGATCAGTCAGTTATCATAGAATTGGCTCCAGACCACCAGTTTCCTGTGACTGCTACAGTCTATTCTAACGTAATATCCCTTGCTAATTGGTTGCTTTTCTTTCATCCAAATGGAAGACTTCTTTAACTTTTGATGTTTTATCTCCCTAAAATCTTGGTGTTTCTTTTTGTTACTACTCAGCCAAACGAGAACAGCAATGGAAGTGGTGGAGCTGAATCTTCTTCAGCCATCCAGAAGGCGGAGGATGTAGTCAGCAGCATGCTGGCAAAGGGCTTCTGCCTGGGTAAAGACACAGTGAAAAAGGCCAAGGCCTTCGATGAAAAACATCAACTCACATCGACTGCATCGTCCAAGGTTGCTTCACTTGATCAGAAGATTGGTCTGAGTGGGAAAATCAGCGCGGGGACCACTGCTGTGAACGAGAAAGTGAAGGAGATGGACGAGAAGCTGAAGGTGTCGGAGGCAGCCAAGGCAGCATTCACAGCTGCTGAACAGTCGGTGAGCAATGCTGGATCGGCCATCATGAAGAACCGGTACGTGCTGACGGGAACCTCATGGGTTACTGGTGCATTTGGTCGGGTGACGAAAGTTGCAGGTGAGGTAGGACAGAAGACGAAGGAGAAAGTGGCGGCTGAGGAAGAAGGAGCTAATAAGGCTTCAGGTTACGTTCCCATTTCATGACTTGCGTGAGCCATATAGGTTGGTTGTTTTGGACTTGGGTTTGTACTGAAATCTTCGTGTCAGAAATGGATGTTCCAGTTGCTCGTGTTGTTGGTTAAGAATGATGATTGTGTTTTGCCATATATTATAGTCTCCAACATACTAAAGATCAATTCAAGCAGGTTTCTCTTTCTGATACGCTTTGCGTTGGTCTGGTGGTGGCATTTTCATGCAGCATTGTACAAGTTTGATGCTTGATTTAATTCAATATAGTTTCCACATGACTCATACTTGCACATCTCGAATGTTTATGGCTTCGTTTAGAGCTAAATGACGGTTATTCAAATTACATAAATTTTTTGTACTCGTTACTAATTATACGATTCGTTTTACCGTTAATCATCGGTCGTAAGATTTTGTCAAACTTTGTTAATGTCGTCAGATTTTTGATGATGTGGCAAATGAGTAAACTAACCCACAAGTTAAGCGCTGGCGTGGAATTGGTGGGAAAAATAACATTTTACCCTATTTTGTCTCTACTCTTTACCATTTAGGAGGAAGAAAACATTGCCCACCAGTAAAAGCAATTCCCAATCTCTTTTTCGTTCTTTCTCTTTCATCTTAAACATTTCCTCTATTAAAGGGCAGACAACACCAAACACCAAACACCTTTACCTTTCTTTTCCTTATTCTTCCTTCTGTCTTCTTTCTCCTCCTCTTCAATAACTTGTGCTCTGTGGAAGAAGGCTATATGAGTCTGGCTAGCTCATGTTGCCGTTGTAGGTACCCAACAGATTTGAGGACTAGTTGAACAGATGTAAATTCAGGGCGGAGGTTCTATGTATGTAGCAAGTTTGAGGTAAGACTATTTTGAATCCCCTTCCTTTTCGTGCTTTTATGATCTTTTGTTTTGGTTTAGCTTCTGACCATTCCTCTCTCTCATTGTGATTTGTTATGCATACAAACATAGCATGCAATTATTTTAGATGATATGAACCAGCTCTTGATGAGCATATGAGACACGTTATGTTGAAGTTCCATCGTCGTATTCGAGATCTAGAGAGAAGGCAACCAAGGAGAGAGTACAAAATAAGCGTCAAAAGGGATTGCATTTTCACTATGATGCTAGTTGAGTTTTAGTGGGGAAGTCTTACAAGGTGATGCTAGTTCCTCTATAGTACAAGTAAAATTTCCAATGTGTTCTTAAGGGGACACATACAGCTTCTGACACCCCTTAATTTCATTGACCCTCCACATGAGTTGAGGTATAGGAACTTCTAGCTCTTTCCCAATCCATAAGGGCCTAATGCTCTTTACAACTCTCCACACCAGAAAATCATAAAATTAATTGTTTGCAAGAGAAGAAAATAATAATAAAAAAAATGTTTGTGTTTGTGAGGCAAAGGTGCCTAAAGGGTATATCAAGTTGAAGGAAGATGCATTCAAAGCTCAAAATCATTTATCAAAAGCTTCATCGTTGTGTTTTGAGACTGTAATGCATGATTGGTTGTTTATGCTTGAAATGGATTGCGTGATGTTCTTGCATGTTGATGTGCTTATGATTCTCTCATGCTATTGTTTACCTTGAAAGTTACATATGATCCACTACCTAAGATCGAGATTGAGTGATGTTCTTTGATTTCCTTTGAGTTGTATGATTGTGAATAGTGTTTGCTTGGAGACAAACAAAGTTCAAGTGTGGACTGTGGAGTATTTCTGATGACACTCTATTTATAGTGTTTATCACTCCCATACTTGATATATTTTCCCCTTATATCAAGCATCTTTGGGTGGATTTTATTATAGTTCATATGGAATTCATAACTATTTGATTTATGAGCTTATGATAGACCTTGAGCGTATTTTTGTACTGTTTTATGCCTTTTGGTTTTGTTTTGTGCGTTTGAAGGAGATAAGACACTCAAGACGAATATGGATCGGCAAGCAACCCAATGGATCAGAAGGAGGTCAAGGATACAAGCTCATAGGCTCAAACGAAGACATATATTAACACCGAAAGCTCAAGTTATGGACAGGCGAATAGTATTTTGAAGAGTATACAGGTCAAACAAAGTCCAAATGAGCTGAAATTTGAGGAGCATGCACATGAACCCAAGAGTAAGTTTCCCACAAAAAATGGGATTTGGAGAAGAAAACCCAGTGGCGGATACAACCGTGTGGGGCCGCAGCAAATGCCCTAGCTTCTAGAAGATTTCCCAACAAGTTACTTTTTCCACGAGTTGAAGGAAACCGACTTCAATTCGGATAATGAAGGATTTTAACGACTTTAGGAGAAAAAGACTATAAACCACAATTCTATAACTAGTATAAATAAGAGGCTAGACTACAGGTTTGACTCACACCTTTTACCAGCACTCTGCCCCTGGGGCACAAGTAGCAATCCATAGAGAGAGGAGGCAAAGCCCTGTTGGAGTTCGATGATGATGATTCACCATCGATGTTCTTCATCTTTTTTATGTCTTCCTACTATCCTTTGTGTTGCTAGTCTATATGTTTAGGGATGTGATTTAATGATGTTTATGTACTATACTCGATGATTTAATGAGATGTCTATTGTGTTCAACGATCTTATAATCGATGCTTGATTTGATTTATTCTTGTATCATCTATTGCTTGAGATTTTTTATGCTTGTTCTTTGTATGCTTTAGATTGTTGATGCTTATGATTCTATTATGTGATACTATATTCATTGTTTATACTACCATCATGGGAGACAAGGAAACTAATCTCATATAGTAGGCATCATCCTTAGATGATGCTTGATCCTTAGATCACCGAAGCTATACACCATAGATTATCGCTCAAGAGGCCCACACTTAATCATGTGTTATCCTAACTTACTTGTTCTTCATCTATTAGGCAATTTCATGAAGTGAAAGCAAGTGTTAGTTAATCAAATCTATATTGCAAGATGCTCATGCACGGGTAGAAAGTGACATTAATGGAAGGGATGTGGCATCTTAGTATAAGACGAATTGAAGTATCTAGATAATGAGGATGAACACATCATCATCTATAATCATTAACTAAATATCACTTTTTTCTTGTATTTTTGTGGTTTGTATTAGTAGTATAGTAGTATTTCGACTTCATTCAAGGATATCTCATCCCACTTTGTTTTACTTTATGCATTCATTATTCAAACACATCTAGTTAGCTTTGAGAAGTTACTACCAAAAGAACTTGTTTTATACAACCCTAAGCATCTGTTTACACCTAAAAAGCTGGAAACAACATCTTTAGGATTATCGTTTGTTTATACATCAAGTGCCTAGAGGAGAATAGTGGGTGTGTGCTTGGTTTTGGATGACCGGAATTCGATGGAATTGTCAGAACTCGTCGGAAGCGTCATTTTCCTGCGAGAATTCAGAGAATTTTGTCATCTGGGCTATGGTCACGGTCGAAAGGGTTTCAGGGCCTTATATACTCGCCTGATGGGGATTCTCATGGTTTTGGTGTAAATTTTACGTACAGACCATGAGATCAACACGAAACCATGAGCCCAAGACTAAACGGGGAGTTTTGGTTCAAACTTCACGACTATGTAAAATGTCACGGGCTAAGACCGTGACAAATACAGACAATCCGTGAGGTTTGTCATCGACAAGAAGCTCCATTGCATCTTGTGGGCTAGTGCAAATGTCACTGCCTGGACTTCATGAACAGTGCACTAAAACCGTGAACTTTACACAATTTCATTACTTGGTCAACTTCAAGGACGGAGCCAGCTTGTACTTTGTTGGAGGGGGGGGGGGGCATTAGATTTAGAAATAACTAAAATCCTAAGTACATGACACACTAAGTTTGCGGTGGAGTGGTGGTCTGAAGGCTTAGCTAATTTTAGTTACGAGGGGAAGGTTTCTTGTTTGAACCCTGCCTTTTAAAATTTAAACTCATTTTAATTATTGGCACTTCTTCTCCTTTTTAAAATTTATAATCTCATTTTAGTTATTGGCACTTCTTCTCCACCTCAATCATCATAGTTGATGAGTGGTTACACGACCCAGCCTTTCGCCTCACAATTTCTAATATTAACCGTCTACATATTATTTAGTGTCTCACTTTCCCTTTTCTAAACTATGGATTTCATTTAGTGACTATAACTCCTTCTCCTAATTGGTGAAAAAAATGTATTAGTGTTTGGTGGTTATGGGACATAAATGATATTAGATGTGGCGGAGATGTAAGTTTATTTTAGTTAATATGAATTTTACCTGCATCATTAGTCTTTTTTGTCGATTTTTTATAGGTGTCTTCGTATTAATTAGAAATTTTTTTATCATCTTCATGTTTATGTATGGCTAAATCTCGACTACCTTATTTTACTATTGGATTGTATTTGAATGTGTGAATTATGAATTGGTAAATATATGATGTATGAAACACATGGTTCTTTTATTGTGATTTTAGAAGAGATAACTCATTACTTTTTTAATTTTGACACAATTTTAAGGGCGTATATTAAAAAAAAAAATTGAACTCTTTGTATGTAATTAACATTCTCTCATAAACTTTTCTTACCACTATGTTGGAAAAAAAATTCGCCCCCCCCCCTAGTCGAGAATTCTGGCTCCGTCACTGGTCAACTTTGATCCCTATTGACTCGTCCCTGGGGGATCTCATTTTGGCTTTGAGAAAGATTCCTCTAGGAGTGGATCCACCACACTCCAAAGGCCATGTCGTTACTTTTCCATATTTCAACTCGCCGTCATTTTGTCCATCTTTCATTCTCTTTTCCTTTTGCCCTTCCATGGGGCATCTTTGAAATCAACATCTTTGGTCTCCACTCCCGTTTGGTCATAGTCTTTCCCATCATGGGAGAAGCCTTAACATGCACGACATCACATGAAACATGCACTCAAGATTTTTCCACCTTACGGGTCACAACATTTGACCAAGGTGGACTTGCCCTTTGAGGGCTTAGGTTTATCCTTCATATTTCCCTTATCAACTTTTCCATTCAACGGTACATCATTAATCTTATTAGCCACGGAGAAGGTGATACGCTCATCACTATCAATGTTCCCTTGTTCACATTTATATGAGCCTTGGTAGTAGGGAGGAAGTGTCGTCTTAGTATTAGTGGGACTTCAATTTCCTCGTTGATATCGAGGATCACAAAGTCCTTATGGAAGTAGAACTTTCCCATTTGTACTAGGAGATCCTCCACTATGCTTAGGTTCAAACATAGATCTATCAACTAGATGCACAATAATTTTTGTACTCTTTAGTTCATGTAGAAATAGCTTGAGATAAACATTATATGGCTTAACGTTGATGATTGCTTCTAAGTATGCCAATGACTTCTCTACATGCAGTGATCCAATTTGTCAAGGTATAGTGAAGCTACCCAGATCTTGTTGTTTCCGAGGATGATTGTTCAGGATGATGGTGGAGCATTCGCCTCGAATCTCCACCATGTCAATGTTGGCGAGCCTCCTTTTCTTCTTCAACACTTCTTTAAAAAACTTCGAATTTCAGCATTTGATCCAAAGCATCCAAGAAGGACACTGGCACATTCAACTTTTTGAGAACCTCCATGAAATTGCCAAGCTGAACCTTGAGAATTTTTTTGTTCATTCGCGTAGGAAAAGGAAGTGGAGGCTTGTACTAAGCCACTGGTGGTGGCGTCGGCACTACCTTCATAACCTCGACATCTTTGTCTTTCTCAGGCTCAGCTTGTTCTTAGACCGGTGGAGGGATCTTCACCTCAACTATCTTCTTAGGTGGGGGGGGGGGGGGGGACATCTTAGGTCACCTTGACGCTTCAAAATGAGATTGCAGGCAATCCAACCCTTGGATCCTTGGGATTGGATACTATTTGTGGTGGGAGTGCCCTTTGTGGTCTTTTGGTGACGATCTCGACTAAGTTCTTGATTTTAATACATATTTGGTGGTTCCTCAAACCCATCTTAAGAGATGCGAACTTTGTTGTTGAAACCTCCATAAACTTGTCAATCCTATCAAACTTCTTTGTGCTTGTAGTCACAAAGGCGTTGACAAGGTCTTCGAGCTTTGCAAGCATGTCCGGTTGTGGAAGTTTTTGTTGGAAGCCTTGTCCGCGTTGTGGTAGAAGAGTTTAAGTTTGGAAGTTTTGGGGTTGCTAAGAGGCCTTTCTTGAAATGGTGTCCTTTCTTTGTAGTTTAAATTCTCCCATTGGCGCTTGGAAATCAGGAGGTCTTTGGTTCGAAGAAGATGCCTAATATAAGTTGGGATGTTGACGCCGCCCCCTGGCTATAGGTGTTGCTATAGGGATTATTATATCCCCTAGAAATGGAGATGAAATATACTTGCCATTGGGGTGCATTCGCCTCCAATATTGCTTGGAATTCTTCCACAACATGATTTGTACTTTGGCACCAATCACAAAGGTGCACTTGAGCTTTAGGTCACTACTCAAGGAGTTTTCGGCATGCACTATAGTCTTGATCAAATCACTGATTTTTGCCTCAAGTGAACTTCAAGATTCGACCACATTAGTTCATTTTCCCTTGAACTTTGATCAATACCGGGAGGACTTTGGTTGGAAGAATTCGAAATCGAGAGGTCTTTGGTCGGAAAAAGATTCCCAAGATAATTTGGGATGTTTACGCCATCCCGGGTTGTAGGTGTTGTTATAGGGATTATTACATCCCCTAGCATTGGTAATGAATTCTACTTGATCTTGGGATGCATCTGCATCCAACATCGCTTGTAATTCTTCCATATCATGATTCAGACTTTGGCACCACTCTCAAAAGTGCACTTGAGCTTTAGGCCGGCTACTCGAGGCATTGTCATAATGCTTTATAATCTTGATCAAATCAACGGTCTTTGCATCAATCGAACTCTGGGATTCAACCACATGAGTGCCATTTTCCTTTGAAATTTGACCTCTTCGTGTGATACCCCCATCATAGCCGCAACTCGCAATCTCCTCAAAGAGTTGAGTAATTTGAGGATGAATCTTGTTAAGCTTGTCTCCTTAAGAGAAGGATTCTATAAGCATACAGTCTTCTTATAATAACCCATTCCAGAAGTCCTGGCCTTAAAATGGTCGTCAAATCCATGATGGAGACATTGGAGAAATAAGCTCGTGTATCTTTCCCAGGCGTTTCGAAGTGTCTCATCATATTCTTGAACAAAGTGGGTGATTGATGTTTGAAGCTTGACGGTCGTTGATGGTGGACAGTACCTTGCCATGAACTTTCCCATGAGATCTTCCCAAGAAGTGATGGACAAAGGAGTTTGCTTGTCTCTTCTACTCAATGAATAGAAAAAACCTTAGACGAATCTCCTCCGGATGTACTCCATTCATATTAATCCCATCCATGAGTTCCAAGAACCGATTGATGTGGTCTCTTGGAGCCATGTGGCTGAGATCGTTTAACTAGTTGTTCTGGATCATAAAGATAAGGCTCGTCTTGATTTTGAAAGTTGTTGGCAACAATGTGAGGGTGTTGGGTGCTCAGTTTGATGTCATTGATCCGCGTGGTGTGAAGTAGTACCCCATTGTCATTATAGATGATTCCTCATCGTTACCTTGACTGTTCACTTAATTGTGAACTTGATTCTCTTCCGCCATGGTATCAACTTCAATCTCAACTTCAACTTCTTCTTGACCCAAGAGTTTGCGAATGAATAACCTCTCCTGAACCTTTCTTAGTTCTCTTTCCCTTATAAGAAGCCCATGGTCTAGTTGGTGTTGTTGTTGATCGGGTGCAAGTCTTCCGGGTTGCTTTGGGTCATATACTTGTGCAACAACTCAACAAAAAAACACCTAACACAAAACAACATAAAACAAAACTAGAGTAACAAATAGTCCACTTCTCCTAATAACTTGCCATGGTCCCCCGCAACGGAACCAAAACTTGACTCATTCCTACTGTGACTACTATCCCAATAGGAACCAAGTGCAACTACGATCGGGTGCAATATAGCGGATTGAAGTTTAATTATCAAATCAGGCATCAAATATACTATTACTTTGCGGACTACCTTGTTATTCTAGTAAATCAAGGTTTGAGTTAACTAAACAACTGCGAAAACAAAGCAAAGACAATTTGGTTAAAAACTATAGTGAGAAAGTCAATCAGGTGTTGTATCCCTCTAGTTGTGAAATAAACCGACGAATGATGCTCAAAGTTTGTCAACTCATGATTTATACCACGGAGAATCATATTCCCAGTTGAGCTCCCTTTCGAAATACTCAACTTCGCATAGAATGAACTATCCGGAGGGAGAGTTTTGCACTTCTGATGAAATAGAACGTATAGGGCGTGCCAAATGGATTCTCTCTATTGGAATTCGATCCAATATGACATTGAAGCCCGATTTCACACTCGATCCATTGACCGAATATGAAGAATTAGGTAGATGCTCTAATTAACCTAGCTAATTGGATATTTCCTACCTTAGGAAAATAGCAACAATTGAGAGGATTTGATCAATACCCAACACAATTCATGAAATACCTAAAATATTTACATAATCAAGAGTCAATCAAACAAGAAAATCATAATTCATCTAATCTAATATATACGACTAGAATTCCATAATACGAAAGTGATAAAATTTTAGCTTATGATGATGAGAGAGAGAGAGAGAGAGAGAGAAATACACCAAATCAATAGAAGAAAACATCCTAGAAGGTTGGGTTCTTTTTATTGCACTTCAATCTTCAACCCTAGGAGATGGATTTGAACACCAATTGTGATTTGAAGCTCCAATCACACTTGGGATCTCCTTCGTCACTTTCTCTCTCTACTCAGCAGATGCACTTGCTTACACTAGACTCCTCCCCTTGAAATATGATTTATTCGCCTTTATATAGCAGCCAATGCAGTCAAAATCACGATTCTATGTAGAAGCGTTTTGGTGAACTAGAAGTATAAATTGTAAGCTTTTAAGCATTAAAGCATAGATTTTGACTACAATTGTAAGGAAAATAGTGATTCTACGTAGAAGAGTTTTGGTGACCTAGAAGTGTAAAACGTTAAGTTTTTAAATTTTAAAGCTCGATTTTGATTGCATTCATAGCCAGTAAGTGCAAAGTTCATGGTTTCTCGTCACGGCCGTGAGGTTTGCTGCCAAACCATGAGGTCAACTGAACACGCACTGTTTTACATACAATCTTCACGGATAGATGTAATTCTCACAGTCTAAGGTGTTGAGATTTGAAAGCATCAGCTAGATGTCTTCAGGCTCCTTGAACTCTACAATCCTACAATTTTAGTGTTGATGTCATGGTTGGCAAACCGTGACATTTGCACATGGCTGCGAGACGCCATCAACGTCTTTGAACTCCTGCATTTCTCACGGTTTTGATGTAGATGTTAAGACCTAGCCATGAGAAAATGTAATGGACCGTGAGCTTTGATACTTTTCTCCATTTTATCTCATTTTGGATCCCTTTTGTCATACTCTTTTTCCTTTTACCAAGTTCAACTTTCAGGACCTAAAACACACTCAAACATGCACAAGCTCGCATAAAACAACCTCAAGGACGATGTAACAAAAGTCAAGCTATTAAAAAAAAGAGTGTAAATATGTATAATTAGGCTCGAATTGGTGTCGAGGACCAAAAGGGGGACGACGCAAGAAAATGGTTGACGAAGGGGAGCGGCGACAAACATATTACTATTTCGATAGACAAGGTTTAGTATTTTTTTCAAAGCATATAGCTAGTAGGCAAAGACAACTAAGATTAATAACGTGAACACACGGTTCAGCGACAAAAAGAGGAAGGTCAAGCGGGAAGTGGCTAGCATAGAGGATGTGGAAGAAGGGTCGGTGATCGAGGATAAGGATGGCAAGGCGGTGAGGTTGGGAGATCTGGTTTCTTTATTGTTCATGGTTGATGTGATGATAATTGAGATCTGAGAGGGAGAAACATAGAATATAATAGGTCATTTCGACTCTTTGGGAGGAAAGGGATAGAGTGCGACATGCTTTTATGTTGCTGGGCGTCGACAGATTAGTTGTCAATTTCACCGTCGAAGTGAAAATTATCATTCAGCCAAAACCCTCCAAACCAATAAATGAAACTGACACTAAATGCATGCTTAACGGTTATTGTTTAGCCAAATAATAGGTTCGCTTGGTTTAATTTATTGATTAGCTGGATAACCGATTACTGATTATCAAACCTAGCTAGTTGGCACTATGCGGAAAGCATTTTTATTTAGGGAATATTCCAAACATTAGTAACTTTATGAAAAATAAAACTGAAGGGAGAAAAGGTGAGAATTAACAAGGAAACGATTAATAGAGCAAAATGCAACTTTATTTATTCCTTAGATAAGTGACCATATATGAGATATGAAGGAAACTGCTTATTTATCTAGTTTAAAGGCCGGTCAGTTGCCATGGCCGTGTTTCCAGTCGCAACATAATTGAATATTGTATTTACAACATTCACTAAGGATTCCATAACCGAGCGCAGGAGATATTGGGTGGGTCACATGTGACGGTTAGATGATATCTTCAGTTGGAACTTCTCTCGTAGCACTGCAAATACCACTAAACACAACTTCAATGGCCAAGAAAGCACAAATGACATGAACAACACTTCTTAGCAGACTTGTTGAAGCCATATTGTATTTCCTGTCACATAAAATGTGTTGTTATCTCAACTCTTCTTTTTTTTATTTCTTTCCTGGTTGTGACTTTTAAACGAAAGAACTAATCCGGTATATATAGAGACAGAGCCATGACCTCATTCGGTTAATCAATAAGAAAATCAAATCTGAAAATACATACATATAAGGAAACTTTTTAATTACATGAAAGAATGAATATGCTTAAATAAATATTAGATAATGAACTTATTGTTTTCCCTTTTAATAAACAAATATATGGAAAATACAATTGCCCAAAATAAGGAAATATGTTTAAATAAATATTATATAGTACGTTTGATTGGGTTTCCTTTTAAAACCAAACTTTAAATTGCCTCCTTAGACTACAGGGAGGGAATAGATACGGTGCTTTAAGTTAAATATGGCAAATAACTTTTTTCTCAATTTAATTTGAATTCTCTTTCGGTTTAATTCGTAATTGAAAATGGTTTACACAAGAAAATTAGATTAATTGTACTCTTCAAAATAACATCCATTTCGATATATTTTGAAAAAAGGAGATATTTGTTATCCGTCAATACTATTTGGTAATGTTTCGTAGTATATAAGATTATTCCACGTGGTATGTAAGTGTATCATGGTGGTATGAATATAACGTAGTGCATAATGATTGTATACATGATAGTAGTATTATACTAATGATTATTTAGCACTTTCCATCATCGTCTACCATATAGGGTGTTATATTAAGTCCTGTAATTTGTTTCTCCAAAAATTTATAGATCCTATAGATGACGATGAACTCGTTAATTCTGGAAACAAAATTTAAAAATTAGGGTGGTATGAAAATTTTGTCAAAATATATTGGAAAATGAATGTAATTTAGTAGATCACAAGTCAAAACAACTCCGTTCAATTTGTAAAAGACTTTAGAAATCAAAGTTAAAGCAAAGAAGATAAAAGTCAATTAAAAAAGTAGGAAAAATAAATTTCCTTTAATATCACTGATTAATATCAGCGAAAGAGAGGCGATTCAAGCAAAGAAAAAGGTGAGATCTATGACGGTTCGAAAAACGGACCAGAGGTCAGGGAATAAGCTGATGGGAAGTGGACCTCGTATGTAGCATCATCCAACTGATTATGTTAAAAAGCGAGATATCGCTTCTAATAGATTTGCTAGCCTGCAAGAAACGTAAAAAACATCTCGAGATGAAGTTTGGGTACAAGAAGGCGGGCGGGATTACCCCACTGGACTTGTATTGAGTAAGGAAAGGGAGAAGAATAAAGGAACTGACAAGCGAGGGGTGAGTGGATAGGGTCCTTTGGCTCAAGAAAATAAAAAGATGAATCTGCAGGAGAGGAGCCACCATGTTGGGCACGTACAACTATGTCCCATGCAGAGCCATGCACAGAACGTTGATAACAATGGAGTGGGGGCGAAGGTCGAATAGAATAAGCAAAGTGACCAAGAGAAGACAGGAGAGGGCAAAACAGGTGAGAAAGGAGTTGAACAGGACCCAGACAAGCTCGGCAGTTTGGTACTAAGATCGGCCAAGGGGACAAACGGTGGGACTAATAGCTGAGATGGAAATGATGGATATAACACTACACTATATTGATGTAAAGGTAGGGCAGGTGGGTTAAGCGTTTGGTGGATGGAGGAGGTGGAGATGGAAATGATGGATATAACACTACACTATGTTGATGTAAAGGTGCAGGAGTTGGGAGTGGGCACTTGGAGATTCACAGGGATGTACGGTTGGCCGAAGTCTGATGGGAAGAGACAAACTCTGGAGGCCCTCAGATCCCTTTCCCAGCAATGGGATGGTCCATGGTTATGCGGTGGGGATTTTAACCTCATTGCGTCGCAGTTTTGAGAAAAAAGGTGGGAATGCACTCCCTGATAGAGAGATTGAGAATTTTCGTGAAGGTTTGAAGGCATGCGGTTTGGTGGATTTGGGTTTTCAGGGCTATCCCTTTACATGGGATAACAAGAGGACCATCGGGTTCACGGAGGAAAGGCTCGATCGGTTTGTCGCTAGGGAGAACTGGTCGGAGCTATTCCCAACAGCTCGAGTGATACATTTGGATGGAAATAGGCCAGAGCATAGACCTCTTATATGCGATATTAGAGGGTAAGATGATGAAGCGATTAAATGGGCGTGGAGTTTTAAAATTTTTACCCCACTGGTCAAAGCACGAAGACTGCCCGCGGACAGTTGAAGAGGCATGAAAAAATGGAGGCACTAGTGTTCTTGAAAAGATTACAAATTGCCGAAGCAAGTTGGACGCATGGAGCCAATCGACTTTTCCAAATTTTGCTAAGCAAAGGAACCGTATAAAGAAAGCGTTGTGGGTGCTTGAGAGAAGTGAGAAGACGCTGATGATAATTCAACAAAGACATGCCCTGGAATCGGAAGTAGATGAGTGATGACTTGATATATACACATTTTCTATCCACACGGGCAGACCTAAATTCTACACGGCCGTGTGACTTGGCCGTGTGGAAATCCATGACGCGGGCAAGCCACACTGGCCGTGTATGGGACCCATTGTGGCCGTGTGGAAAGTCCAGGGAGCTCACACGGCCAGACTGGAAATCCACACGGCCGTGTAGCGTACCTGAAGCCACTTAAGTGAAACGCTGCGTTTTGCACTTCCACACAGGCAGCTGGGGATTTCACACGCCTGTGAGATCGGGCCAAACTGGGTTTTGACCCAATTTCGGGTCTTTTGAAGGGGGGGATCGAGTTTTTGAGCAAAAAAACAGAGCCCTAGAGAGAGAAAGTGCGAAGAACACATCCTAGAAATGATTTTGGAGCTGGGTTTCATCAATTCGAGATTGGAGATCATCATAGCAGTGAAGATCATCATCCCAGAGCATATTTTCCTCATCTTTATGAGTATGAGTACTCTGTTGTCTGTTTTCCTCTCTCTCTCTCTCTCTCTCTCTCTCTCTCTATTGAGTAGAACCTTCTCTCACTTGGGATCGTTATACTAATTGATTTTATTCGATTGATGCATGATTTATTGAGTCAATTAAAGTCTGATCATCTTTTCTTGATTTCTACTGCAACCTGAGATAGATAGAATCTGATTAGGTTGTTAGAGCTTCATCAATCGGTAGTGGTAGATTGATTATACGAGAGTTAATCGATTTACTGCTTTGTACTGGAATCCAATTCCAGTAGTGTAGTTCTGCGTTCATAGCCTCGTCTTTCTATCCCGGTGAAGACTAGTCGTCTGCCGGGTAGTTGGACTGAGAGGGCTTGGTCAGCTTAAGAGATTCCAAGCTACTGTCGGATCTTCCACAGTTTAATCAACAGTTAATCAACCCAGGGTAATTACAACCTCGACCTAACTAAGGAGCTAGGGGGACTCATTCCCGAGTGACTCTTCCCTTGCTAAGGAACTTTGAACCATTTCCTCCTTTCTTACTGCTTTTAGTTAAAATCACAATCACTTGACTTAGTTTGCTAGATAATAGATAATCACGGAGTAGGCAGTAGATGTAAACCCCGGGTTGACAAATAGAGTTTGCCTGTTACTGCATTTCCAGACTGCGATTACACTTGGTCGCAGTTTGGTGTTGTGTTTTAGCATGTCAATATTTTGGCGTCGTTGCTGGGGACCTCTAGGTTATTGTAGAAACGTGAAAGTCTGTTACTTTAGCTTTTTTCTTTTCTTTCCCACCCTTGTTTTTCACTTGGGTGTTATGTTTTTGTTGGTGCAGATCTGAAACATGGATCCTCATGGCTTCTCCAACCATTGGGGGGTATCAACCACCATCCTCATGGATTCGGATGTCAGTACCAACCCCCCTACTACGGAGATCAACCAAACCATTGGGAACCTCAAGAACAATATCCTTTTCAAGAAGAGTTCCTGCCACAACCAGCGGGGCCATCTGAGTTGGAGTTAGCCATGGAGGCCTTCACGGGCCACTCTGCAGAGCCATGCTACACTTCACTGGAAGATCCGAACAAACAATTAAGGCTTCTCGTGGAGCAGTTTGCTCGAGAAACTGAGAGATCATGCTCCAAGATGGATCTTCAAATCCAAGCCCTTGCCCCTTCCGATCCCTCATTTCTCCATGAAATGGAGGAGACTGTTCAGTGCTCAGCGAAGCAAACAGAGTGGGTGGAGCAAGTTTGCTCGCATCCTGCTCAAGATCACCTTTCTGCTACCACGCTAGAAGAGGTGGAGGATGACAAAGGCTACGGGGACGTTGAGGAGCATACATAAGTTATCACAGAGAACTCCCATGTTAACAGTAATACGAATATCATGGTTGCATATCACACCCGTTTACTATCTTTCGGGTTGGGTTCGGGTTCAACTATATCCATCCCACTCCAACCCGAACCCGTCGCCAACCACGAATCCCTTACCCACTTACTCTCCCATTAGGCAATTCACCCATCTTAATCTAAGCAATATATTTTCCTTAAACAACTAATCATCCTTATGTTTGGGGAGACATGTCTCATTTGTTCTTCCTAATTGCCTAGAATGAAGTTGATAATATGGAATGGAGAGTGAAGAAGTTTAGTTGACAAGGAGGAAGAAGTTTTCAATTACTCATGTTCTTTATGGATGTTTATCTTTAATGTTGAACAGTTTGTATGGATGGTTTTCTTCTATGCTCTAGATTGGTGTTTTTTGTTTGGATAATTTGTATAGAAGAATGATGTTAGACTTTTATATTGACTAGAACTTGTTATTATAAATTTTTCACCACTAACCCATGAATATCTATTTTATTGGTGGTTATACCCGTTCAAACCCAACCTGACTCATTGCCATCCTTTCCTCCTCGACGGATATTTTTTCGGGCTTTCTTATTTCTTCATTTCTTCCCATTCACTGTAGACTGATCAACTGTTCCAAACTTTTACATTTGGGATTTTTCCTTGTAAAATGAATTACCATGTAAAATTCATTGTCAATTGAAATCTTATGTTTGGTATGTCATATTCAAATCTTTAGAAATAAAATGAATTGCCGTGTAGAATTCGTTGTCAAATGAATTCCTTTGTTTGGTATGTCATGTTTATAAGTAATTTAGTTAATAAAAGATATAATTATGTCATTCAATAATAATTAGTAAATACTTGTGGAATTCATTTGGAAATTCTTTCTCAATTACTCGGAATTGCTATAACTAGTTCCAATTCCATAGAATTCAAAATTTAGAATTGAGAATGAATTTTTTTAAATACCGAACACACAAAATATTCATTTCAAAATGAATTGTTTAAAACTTATGGAATTCATTTATACCAAACGGTATGTTAGTTAACTTTTGCTTAATGCATCAAACTTTATTTGCATTACTTGTATATCCCCCTGATTCGCATGCTTGAACAGGATGCAATGCTTTAACTAGCTTGGAACCGTACAGCATGATCGATCCAAACTATAGTAACCAACTAAAAGAAACCAGATTTTTGTGCCCCAATAATAGGTTCGCTTGGTTTAATTTTTTGATTAGCCGGATAATCGATTACCAATTATCAAACCTAGCTAGTAGGCACAGTGCAAAAAGCGTTTACATTTAGGGAATGTTCCAAACATTAGTAATTTTATGAAAAATAAAACTGAAGGGGAAAAAGGTGAGAATTAACAAGGAAACGATTAATAGAGCAAAATGCGACTGTATTTATTCCTTAGATAAATGACCATATATGAGATATGAAGGAAACTGCTTATTTCTTAAAAAAGGAGATATTTGTTATTCGTCAATACCATTTGATAATATTTGGTAGTATATAATCGTAGGATTATATCACGTGGTATGTAAGTGTATCATGGTGGTATGCAATGCAGTCAAAATCATTATTTTGATCGTAAAATCGTAGGATTTTAGGATTTTACTTAGGCATTTCGATCCAGATTTTAATATAAATCGGTGGACCTTAAAATCGTTTAAAATCTGGATTTTGATCCTATGTGAACAAAATAGGTGGTTTGAGCCAATTCACAAGAAGCAAAACTGTTTCGGTGGAAAGGGCAATGATAGGGATCTTCTTAGGTTAACCCCCTTCCCCTTGTTTAACTCATCGATAAAACAACTGTCATAATATTTTAAATACGTAAGAATTAACATCATCATTGACAAATAATTAATTAATGAATATAATTGTACCAACTAATGACATTAATTATTTTATTGGAATTCACTTATTCTTAGTTTTAAAAAATGCATAGTAGACGACGTTGGAATACTATACTTTGAGTTAAACTACCTAAACACAACACGAAAACAAGAGTCAAACCCTATGAGCTATATCCCTTCCTCATAAATTATTTTGAGTTACGCATTAAATAACAATTAAAATGATGATTTTGGAACATTCTTCTTGAAACTTATCATTTTAAATGTTATATGTCTTTATGTTATTAATGATTTACCTTATTAATATTATTATATATTAATTTCTATATGGTACTTAAAATCCTACGATTCTGCGATTCAATTTTATAATTGCGATTTTACCCTAGTTTTCGATTTTAGGTAAAATCCCGATTTTGACTGCTTTGGTGGTATGAATTTAACAGAGAGCATAATGATTGTATACATGATAGTAGTATTAGACTAATGATTATTTAGCACTTTCCATCATCGTCTACCATATAGGGTGTTATATTTAGTCATGTAATTTGTTTCTCCAAAAATTTAAGGATCCTATAGATGACGATGAACTCGCTCATTCTGAAAAAAAAAAAAAATTCGTGTGGTATGAATAATTTATCGAATATATTGAAAAATGAATATAATTTTGTAGATCACAAGTCAAAACAAACCAGTTCAATTTGTAAAAGACTTTAGAAATCTAAGTTAAACAAAGAAGATAAAAGTCAATTAAAAAAGTAGGAAAAATAAAAATCTATTAATATCACTAATTAGATCTAGCCCCACTAAAATCAATAACCCATGACTACTTATCCATGGTTTGCACCCTATCTAGGACCAGATACATAGGTGTTAAAACATAACCCGACCGTAAACCGAGTTTTCTATATTCTGATTGGCCCTAACTCGATTAAGGTCGTAACCCGACTACCCATGTCCCGAATAACCCGAATTCAATTGACCCATAACTGGATTGAACCCGTAATCCGACTAACCAGAACCCTATTGACTCGTAATCCGAATGCTCCGCAAACTATAAAATAAAGTTCATATGTTATTTCAATTAATTGTTTAGCATTGTTAGAAAAGGATTAATATACAATTATCTAATACTCTCTAGTAGTTTTGCAACATGTTTCCTCAACCATCAAATTATTGACACACTAGACTTTAATTTATGATATTAGCTAGTGTATGCTAATATTAGGACCTTTTGAATCCAAAATAATTTATGACCTACTTTTCATATTGTTTTTCTAAAGTTTGAAAATAATTTTTTTTTTACTCTTTGTAGACCAATATTTGTTAGCTACCTCCGAAGTTTCTTAGAATATATATTGCATATAAGTGATTAGATCTAGGCCCACTAAAATCAAGAGATCATGACTACTTATCCATGGTTTGTAGTTTGCACCCTATCTAAGACCAGATACATAGGTCTCAAAACATAACTCGATCGCAAATCGAGTTGAATATATTCCGATTGGACTTTTCTACGGTGACATGCATGTCACGCTGACATGCACTTTTCAGTCAACCTCATATAGGATTAGGTCGACCTAATCTGTTGTTTCAGTGTAAAAACAGTTTCATGGTGCCTACTTTGGAGATTCATATCTTACAATTGGCTAGATGGAAATTGGAGATTAATGGCTTGTTTTGAAGCTGAATTGTCCCTCTACACATTAAAGTACTTGGGAGCTCGATAGGAAGTCCAGAATACCATTTTTGAACATGATCAACAGGCTATGCCAAAACTGGGAGACTGCCTGAAAATGGCTAAGTCTGGGAACGTGTTTGTGAAGCCTACTTTGGAGCTCAATTTGAGAAGCATGGATGCGATTCGAGTCCATGGGCCTCTACCAAGTTAAATTAGGTATGTTTGTCTACAAAGTCAAGGCATTGGTTGAAAGATTGGATATCTTTAAGGCTTAAAAAAAGGCTCGAAGTTGCAACGAAGGCTGTTTTTCTGGCAGCTTGCTTGTGCTCGAAGTGTGCCAGAAAAACAGCCTTAGTAGCAACTTCGACCCTTTTGTTTGAAGCATTACAGATACCCAATCTTTCATCCAATGCCTTGGATTTGTATAAAAACATACCTAATTTAATGTGGTAAAGGCCCCTGGACTCGACCCGCATTCATGCTTCTCGAATTGAGTTCCTAAGTAGGTTTCACAAACACGTTTCCGGACTTGCCATTTTCAGGCAGTTTCCTAGTTTTGGCATAGCCTTTTGATCAGGTTCGCAAATGGTCTTCTGGACTACCCATCGAGCTTTTAATCACTTTAACATGTAGAGGGACACTCCATTTTCAAAATAAGTCATTAATATTCAATTTTCATTTATCCAATTGTATGATATGAATGTCCAAAGTAGGCACCATGAAACTATTTTTACACTAAAACAACATATTAGTGCGACCTAATCCTAACTGAGGTCGACCGAAATGTGCAAGTCACCGTGACATGCACGTCACCGTAGGCGCACCCTTATCTTTAATGTTGAACAGATTGTATGGATGGTTTTCTTCTATGCTCTAGATTGGTGTTTTTTGTTTGGATAATTTGTATAGAAGAATGATGTTAGACTTTATATTGACTAGACCTTGTTATTATAAATTTTTCACCACATAACCCATGAATATCGATTTTATTGGTGGTTATACCCGTTCAAACCCAAACCCAACCTGACTCATTGCCATCTTTTCCTCCTCGGCGGATATTTGTTCGGGCTTTCTTATTTCTTCATTCTTCCCATTCACTGTAGATTGATCCAACTGTTCCAAACTTTTACATTTGGGATTTTTCCTTGTAAAATGAATTACCATGTAAAATTCATTGTCAATTGAAATCTTATGTTTGGTATGTCATATTCAAATCTTTAGAAATAAAATGAATTGTTGTGTAGAATTCGTTGTCAAATGAATTCCTTTGTTTGGTATGTCATGTTTATAAGTAATTTAGTTAATAAAAGATATAATTATGTCATTCAATAATAATTAGTAAATACTTGTGGAATTCATTTGGGAATTCTTTCTCAATTACTCGGAATTGCTATAACTAGTTCCAATTCCATAGAATTCAAAATTTAGAATTGAGAATGAATTTTTTTAAATACCGAACACACAAAATATTCATTTCAAAATGAATTGTTTAAAACTTATGGAATTCATTTATACCAAACGGTATGTTAGTTAACTTTTGCTTAATGCATCAAACTTTATTTGCATTACTTGTATATCCCCTTGATTCGCATGCTTGCACAGGATGCAATGCTTTAACTAGCTTGGAACCGTACAGCATGATCGATCCAAACTATAGTAACCAACTAAAAGAATCAGATTTGTGTGCCCCAATAATAGGTTCGCTTGGTTTAATTTTTTGATTAGCCGGATAATCGATTACCAATTATCAAACCTAGCTAGTTTGCACAGTGCAAAAAGCGTTTACATTTAGCGAATGTTCCAAACATTAGTAATTTTATGAAAAATAAAACTGAAGGGGAAAAAGGTGAGAATTAACAAGGAAACGATTAATAGAGCAAAATGCGACTGTATTTATTCCTTAGATAAATGACCATATATGAGATATGAAGGAAACTGCTTATTTATCTATTTTAGAGGTCGGTCAGTTGCCATGACCGTGTTTCCAGTCGCAACATAATTGAATATTGTATTTACAACATTCACTAAGGATTCCATAATCGAGTGCAGGAGAGGTTGGGTGGGTCACATGTGACGGTTTGATGATATCATCAGTTGGAACTTCTCTCGTAGCACTGCAAATACCACTAACCACAACTGCAACAACCAAGAAAGCACAAATGAAATGAACAACACTTCTTAGCATATTTGTTGAAGCCATATTGTATTTCCTATCAGAGAAAAAGTAATGTTATCTCAACTCTTCTTTTGCTTCTTTCTTTCTTAGTTGTGACTGTTAGACGAAAGAATTAATCTGGTATATATAGAGACAGAGCCACGACCTCATTCGGTTAATCAATAAGAAAATCAAATCTGAAAATACATACATATAAGGAAAAGTTTTAATTACATGAAAGAATGGAATATACTTAAATATATATTAGATAATGCATTTATTGTTTTTCCATTTAATAAACAAGCTTTAAATTAACTCCCTTATGAAAATAAAGAGATATATGGAAGATATAATTGCCTAAAATAAGGAAATATGTTTAAATAAATATTATTAGTAGCACGCTTAATTGGGTTTCCTATTAAAACCAAACTTTAAATGGCCTCCGTAGACTACAGGGAATAGATATGGTGCTTAAGTTAAATATGACAAACAAATTTTTTCTCAATTTAATTTGAATTATCTTTCGGTTTAATTCGTAATTGAAACTGGTTTACACAGAAAATTAGATTAATTATACTCTTCAAAATAACATCCACTTTGATATATTTTTAAAAAAGGAGATATTTGTTATTCGTCAATACCATTTGATAATATTTGGTTGTATATCATCGTAGGATTATATCACGTGGTATGTAAGTGTATCATGGTGGTATGCAATGCAGTCAAAATCGGGATTTTGATCGTAAAATCGTAGGATTGTAGGATTTTACTTAGTGATTTTGATCCTGATTTTACTATAAAATCGGTGGACCATAAAATCATTTAAAATCGAGATTTTGATCCTATGTGAACAAAATAGGTGGTTTGAGCCAATTCAAAAGAAGCAGAACTGTTTCAGGGGAAAGGGCAATGACAGGGATCTTCTTCGGTTAACCCCTTCCCCTTGTTAACTCTTCGATAAAACAGCTGTCATAATATTGTAAATACGTAAGAATTAACATCATCATTGACAAATAATTAATTAATGAATATAATTGTACCAAATTAATGACATTAATTATTTTTGGAATTTACTTATTCTTAGTTTTAAAAAATGCTTAGTAGACGACGTCGGAATACTATACTTTGAGTTAAACTACCTAAATGCAACACGAAAACAAGAGTCAAACCCTAAGAGCTATATCCCTTCCTCATAAATTATTTTGAGTTACGCATTAAATAACAATTAAAATGATGATTTTGGAACATTCATCTTGAAACTTATCA